ACGTTTTCTTTGTGCAGCTTGCTGAAAACAACGTGCGGAAACCACAAGCTTCGGTTGCGTGAAAGAGAGCAAAGTTTTAGCTTCGTTGTCGTCGTGTCGTGTTTGTCACTTGCGAAAGCTTTTCGTTCACGCTGCCTGTTTGGTTTTGCTTTGCAGGGCTCCGCCCAAATGCCGCGCCTCTGCGTGGGCCCCTCGGATCGTGCTCGGAATGCTTGAATTGGATTTAAGCACTCGCAAAGCCACGGGACGCTGTCTGTTGGTCGAAGAACCCGACAGAAAAGCTCAAACCTTGAAGCTTTACATTTCATTTTTCTGTTCGGCTTAAAGCAAATAGTCAATGAAGGCACGTCGGAGCTTCAGGGCGTGGATTTAGGGTTTAGGGTGCAAGGCTTCACCCACGTGCTTTTACCAGCCAGGCACTGTTTCCAGGCAGGGGCTGTTTCCAGCCAGAGGCTGTTTCCAGGCCGGGGTTGTTTCCAGGCCGGGGCTGTTTCCAGCAAGGGGCTCTCAGGCTTCTTCTAACCTGCTTTTCGCAAGTTGTTGTCTGCTGTGGTCTGCTTGAATGGACATGGTTCTCAAGACACAGCTTGCCTCCGATGGAGAAGTCCGCATGTGCAGCCTACATGCTTTGTTTCAGCGTCGAGTCTGCTTGCTCAGCCAGTGGGTTGAAAAGTTCAAGGGGCAAATAAGTCCACAAAAGGCCACGGCTTTGGGTTACTACCTGATGGGCCTTCTTGTGTCAGTGTGTCACTCGGCTGCAAGACCCAGAGAACCAATATTGGGGTTAAGTACAAGATCAACCTCACCCTTACCTTTTCCTGGCTCGACCACAGCTTTCATGCTAACCTGCGCATCTATAATGAGCTCCATAGCAACCCGCCTGAGTTGCTTAACTGGTGCCTTTCACAGTCGGATTGCTTCCGACCCCAAGCTGAAGCACAGTTTTGGAAGTACAGAATGCCAAGTTAGCAGGGCTAACGTGCATTCCCGGCCGTGGGGTCATGGTCTTTCACAGCTGGTGCTGTGACAAGGTGCAATGAATTGCAACTCTGCCCCGGCCGCATCATCTCTTCTGTGTGCCTTTTGCAGTAAAGGTCGAGGCAAGGTGTCAGAGGCCAAAGCGCATTGCTTTCTTTTCTAGCATTCTGCTACGCCAGGTCTCTTCTTCAGGCTGAGGAGCCTGCCAGTGAACCCAGCAGGCTGAAGGAGAAAGTGAAAGTGGAATGTGAGCAACGTGCCTCTGATCTGGCGGTGGAGTCGGAGGATCAGGCCATCAGTGTGTCAGATGAGGAGCCGAATGATTGGAACATGTGTTCTGAAGCTCCCCGTCCCGGGCCAATGAGACCGACAAAGCCGGAGGCTGAAGTGCCGGCGCTTTTTGGGGTGGCGAGGGCGAACAGAAAGAAGCCCTATCTGGATCATCATTGGCTCGGCCCTCAACTCATTGCTTTCAGATCCAATTCAGGTGACTTGTTGGAGAAGCCCCTGGTTATCTCCAGTTTGGGGAAGGGGCAAAACCGGATAGTGTATTCGGTTTCGGGCGACGTGGTCATGAAACTCACCACGGACCTGGCTGCGCATGGCAACGAGCACGCGCTCTCCATTATGTTCAAGGAAATGGCGGCCCAGGTCTAAGGACTCTTGGCGGCAGCGTAGACCCAAAACCGAGCTGAGTGCCTGGGACAGCAAGCGTGCCAACCAATCGCAGTAGAGGTGATTGTTTTGCACGTCGACATCAGACAAGCATGATGAGTGTGCCAAGAACAGCTTCGATAACGAAGTGCGTAATCGCGGTTGGTTTTATGAATATCAGTTGTGCTTGCTAGCGGAATGTCGAAGACTTTAAAGGCGGTATGCCGGAGGCGTAAAACGCTGACGTCCTTTTGGAGTGCTGAAGAAGTCTCACATGTTTGTCTTCGAACTGAGACTTAGGAAAGGTTCATGGATGGTCTAGTTACGGCCACCCACGGAGAAAAACCAAGCCTGCAACGCAGTGCAAGTAACGCTGTGAGAAAGGATGCAACATTGCATGTGCGGTGGGGATCTTAAGCGAGCTGGATGCGTCGAATTCCTGCCCACGGGAAGGCTTCATGTCCGCGAACAGGACCTGGGAAACTTGGGCGGAGTAGACGCAAGCGTTGCCTGTCTTCACCAACTTGATATCGATTGGAAAATTCCAAAGACCAATCCGTTAAGAGAAGGTTCCTTTGGAGGTCCCAAGTGACGTGGTTCATCAAGTTGCAGAAGAAAAGCTGCTGCAGCCAGTGCCAATCCTATGGATGAGAACGATCGACAAACAGTTGCAGAACCGGGCAGTATCGGAACCAGAGATGGAAGACGAGGAGAACGAACCGATTGAGGTGGTCAGCTCTCGTATGCCTGCTGATTGACGACACCTGGCGCATGCGAGATCGAACATGCAGGTACCCATCTTCATTCAGGTGGAAACGGCACATACGGTTGAACCGAACCTCGACCTCGCTCGCTTCATGGCGTACAGCACCATCAGCTACACGTACAAGAACTGGAGAGCAAACATGAAGTGTCTGGACATTCCATTACCGACGATGCGACAACTCTTCCAAGAAGGAAAACGCTATGACGTTCTCGGTGAATGGGGTGAAATGCTATCGGAAGTGGACGAAGATACACACATCTCGCGAGACGTTCAGGATGCGGATATCCTTGCCTATGGAGTGAGTAAGAACGATTATGAGGATCCAGAGGGCACCTATTTGCTTCGAAGGTTCAGGACGCATCAGCTCATGTCAAAGATCATTCGGGGAGCCGTACAGCTCGGATTCCAGAGGAATCATTTTTGATCCTCGTACCCAGATGCACTTCAGCTGCTACGCTTTGCTACAGCAGATCATCGGTAAGGTCACCGGATTCAGTCAGTACAATGCTGCAACCTATGAACCAGCACACCCGTAGGAACGTGCTATGCGTTGACCCTTGCGGTATTGCAATGATGTTCGGGCCCGGGCACTGTTCAAGAACATTCTTGTCTTTCTTGGTTGAGATTGACATCCAGTTACCGGCCAGTTTCAGCCACAAACTGACGAACAGCAGGCAACAAGCACAAAAGTCCAAGAACACCTCGGCGCTCAATCACCTTCCCTCGGGCTATCTCCCAGGAGGACGACGAGGCATCATGGACACACCGGTCACGCAAGAGAAAGCAGCCGCAGCCGAAGAAGCACGTCGAGCTAAAGCCGGCGCACGACCACGGCGCTATCCTGAATCCCGGGAACTTACTCCTCCACCACATCAACAACGACGTGAACGGTGGCAACACAATCAACGTGCTTATGATCGTCGGTCAGCAGGATCATCGTCGGGCTATCGCTACGACAGGGATTGCCGAAATGATGACGGCCGATGGAATGGGTGAACTTCTACGTGGGCATTGCCGACCGCATCCATTACCTCTTCACATGTTGGACATGGCTAAATATACCACATTTCGTGCATAATGCTTTGAGTGCTTCCTTTCATTTCTCACCGAAACAGGGGATCGCAGCCAACGTAGCTATGTCTCACACACAGAGTTTAATTGGGCATCTAAACACACAGTGTCACAGACGATCGCCGTCGAGTGTTTCTTCTTTGTTCAGGTCCTGCGACTCTCTTCCTTTAGTTGAGCAAAGCTTGAAGCTTAACTCATCGGGGTTGCGAAGAGACTTCGGAGCCTGGTGCAATTTCATCGTGCAACGTACGGCGTGCCTTCGGCTACCGTACTAACGGGCTATGAGAGACATGTGGGAAGCTTTGCGTTACCACGTGATCTATCCAATGTTGACTCCGGCGAACATTTGGCTCAAGGCTCAAGACCCCAAGCTCAAAGAGCTCAAGGTCAACAGTTCAGCATACGTACATGTGTGTTCTAGCTGCTAGCTGCCAGACATTGTGTGTTGCCCCCTTGCACAGATACTTCGTCTACCGGTGCGAGAAGTGCCAAAAAGTGGACCGAGGGTGCCTGCTCAGGGAACGACTGTTAGTATCCAATCCTGGGCGCTACATAACATCAACATATAGCTCGATGAGGTGAGCGATTATACGGAACATCAAGACCAAACCCTCACGCATGTCGTAGCAGACTAACAGTAGTAGTAACCATAATCATACTGCGAGTCCACCCCCGTAAGTAGTGGAAGACGGCCCCGCCTGGCCCAAACACTTCGCGTGCAGCCTTTTAAATCCATTGAGTCCAGGGGCCAGGGGTCATGGCAACTGATTGCGAGAATCGTGTTTGGCTTTTCCCAACAAATTCGAAGAAAGGCAATGCTAGGTTCTTGTAGCTGCACTCGCTCCAGGCCCGGCAGCAAGGGCTGCTTCCCAAACGCAGGAAGCAGAGGTGTGAGCCCATGCCAGTGCACAGGTGTTAAATAAGCCCTGCTGCGCTCCAATGGACAATTGCATGTGCACCGTCCACTTGATGAGCATGTTCCAAGTCAGCATCCACAATTGTTTTATGCAGTGCATCGCCGAGGTCTTCGAGTATTTAGGAATCTTGTTGTTACCCTGTAATGCACAAATAGCCATGGCGTCAGCCATTGCATCGGGTTACACTGAACCAAAGCCAGCAACACAACCACACACAAACAGCAAACGAACCACAAGCCCCGATGTCACCCCGAACTACGGGCAGCAACTCTCTGCTAACAGGTTGCATCAAAAAGCCCTGCAAGCCCTGCCAAACAAAACCATTCGATCCGTGCCATATCCGTTCTTTTGAGCATTCGGCGGTATCGCACTTCGCTTGCATGGAACATCCGCCAGATCGATTCTCCCCAAGTCTATATCTCCAGTTCCGACATCACGCTGCAAGTGACCTGTACCCCGGTTACCAACAGCGTTGCATGCGGGAAACCATGCCGTCGATGTCGATTATCTTTGTTTGCCGACCATGCCTTTTGAAGCGAGGATTTGCACTTAGGTGTTGTGTGATTCGCCATACGGCTCCAGGTTGAACATCCGCAAGAATCAATAGCTCACCTCTCACCAGGCACACTGAAGTAATTGCTTCAACTTGTTTGTGACCCTTGCGATTTTCGTTGCACCACAGATGCCACAGATTGACTTGGCCATTGTGTGGATGCTTTGCTGCTCCGCACAAGACAGAGGTGATTTCTCCCCGTTTCGCAACCACACAAGCGCGATACTCTTTTGCATGATGTTTCGGCATTGATTCTGTTGTGTTGGAAGATGGCAGCTTCGATGCAAATGCGATGGCAAGCACAATGTGTGGTCATTACAAGCCGTGGAATCTGTAGCTGCTGTGTCGGTTGGCATCAGGTAACAGCTGTGCCAGTTTCACGGCACCATTTATCTCTTCGAGCAAATGAATGCGGGAAGGGGGCGACATCGCACGCCCAGAGGCCAACTCTCATTCTTCATGAATAGTTGGCAGAGCCGAGTCAGCCATGCATGATTCCGTGGTTTGTGCTGAAGTTTCTCGCTGCTTCTACGAATGCAGGCAGGAACTTCCTTTGCAACCGCTGGTGCACCGAAATTCCGCGTGGACTGTCTTGGCGGCTTCCACTGTCATGGCACCGTTGAAGCGCCGCCGAGAAGGCTTTTGTGTTTGGGAAGTGCATGCACGTAGTGATGGGCAGTTGTGAAACGGATGTTGCGATGTTTGCAGGTCGACCTCTCCAAGCAGCTGCCGGAGAGGTGCTCCGAGTTTTCATGTTTGTTTTCGTCTTAAGTCATGATCATGTCCACAAAGCCAGGTCTCAGCCGTGTCCGTGGACGAGGTCTTGGCCAATCGTTTGAGATCAGTCGAGTGCGAAAGCTACTTGCATGTAAGGAGGTGATGTCTCATGGTACCATGAATGACGATGAACCGAAGCTCGGCTGGGCATTCTCTGCACAACTCTGCATTCGAAGACATGGATGATTGCTGCAGGAATACAGTTCTCCGGTATGGAAACCTGGCTGCAATACAGAGGGCCATGCCACTTGGAGGCGGCTAGTCGGCTACTGAGAATCTGAGGCGTGACCAATGGTTCTATGTTACCATGGACTGGTGCCAAACTTCCAGACTTGCTGCCAGAGGCGGAGCCGTTTCTTGCAGTTGTTGGTTTCGATTTTAGAACGCATGTCCACAACGACCAGGTGCACTTTTCTGGAAAGGTTCTGCCTCCAGAGGCAATGCTGCTCTTTTCCGCCGCACACGTCGAAGCCGCTTCGGAACCCTTTGACACTAGGCAGCCGGTTGCGGTCCGGACCAGCTCGCCTTCTTGCTGAGCATGCTGGAAGCCGAAGAGGCCGGTGAAGCACGAGCAGCATGAAATTCGAAGTATGTCCGGAGTAGCATCGTTCACCGAAGGTCGACTTCGTCATAGCTCCGGCGAAGGATGCCTCTCACCCAGGAGCTCGTTGTCAGTACTTTCATGTTGCAGGTGCATGTGTGTGCGTGTGTGTTTCCGTTGAGTCTGTTTGGAGACTCAGGTTGGCCTGGAGTTGCCGCATGGTCTGGTTGCCGCTGCTGTCCTCCGTGAGGCATTTCGAAGATTGTACCCCCTGATTGGGTCCTGCGGACACTGAGTCAATTGGCAGGATGCTCGTGACGCGTTTGTCTCAGCCTCAGTCTCTCGACATCTCGGCACTTGGATTGTCCCATGGCATAAAATTCAGGTCGCTCGACCGCAGTTGGCGCATGTTGGATCGCTTTCTGCTCGGGCCCGTTCTTATCAGAAGAACCTGGCCTACCTGTGCTTGCTGTCGAGTAATCGCCCAGGACCTTCCACCTGGCAGCAAAGTCTGTGTGTCTGGCGCACGGCGTCGGATGCAGCTCGCCGCGAGGTGCAGCTTCCTCTGACTTGCGAGTGTTTGGCAATGGCAGCATGCAGGTTTCCCGAGCTCTGCATTGAGGAAAGCTTTGGACTTGAGTGCTTCCCAAGCCGTTTGCAGCAATTTCATCAACATTGCTCTAAGGCAAGTTGCCTTGCCAGAGCGTCCTTCGACGCTTGTACAGCCTTGATTATGATGCAGTTGTTGCAGCAGCAGCTGGCCTGCCATGCTGTCCTGTTTGCACACTTCTCGGGTATTGGCCGGTTCTCCTGTTGGTGTGTCTGCTTGGTTCTGCTATCTTCTAACAGGCATAGGACGGCGCTGCGGATGTCTGACGAAGTGTCGCCACTGGACATCGATGAACTCATGCCCGCATTGTGCCAAGGCAGGCTGTTCTACCGAGTTGCACACGTTGTCACGAACAGCTGGCCAAAGACAAGTCAGCACCTCCATGTCCAACATTGAACTATTTTCAGAGCAGGGCTTTCGCACAGGGTCATCATGCTTGTTCAATGATGCCTGTGTTCGGTCATACCAGCAAGTTGCAGGTGCAGTTTTGCTGCATCTTACCCCGGTCAGTTGCAGAGACGTTGCAGGTGCGCTTGCAATGTTATGTCGGGCCAAAGATGAGCAGATCGTGTCCTTGTCGCTTGGACACAAGTAGGCGCCATGGAAGGTCATGCGGTTCATTTGAGAAGCATGTCATCGTGCCTTAAGGTTGGGGGCTTGCGATGATGCAGCAGCCGATAGCCTAGCTAGCACTCCACTCTAAGTGCGGTAGTTGCCGATCTCAGGCACGAACCTGTGTAGTTGCAGAGCGCGACCTAATGAAACAGCTGGGAAGGCCACGCCCGCTCGTACCGCGTTCGAATTCCAAAGACAAACGGTCCAGCTGCCAGGTTGCCGGATGATGCAGCAGCGGGAGACCCAGCCGACGTTTACATTGCACGGCGGGCTAGATTGCAAGATGGATGGCACGGCTGTGATGCTGGCAAGGTGGGAGGCGTCGCCGAGCTAAGGCTACCTTGAGTGCAATTTGTGACTGTGACATTCGTCATGCGCTGCCTTATGATCTGCGTGAGTTTGGTGCAGGTATCCTGGGGCAAGCTAGAAGACCCAGTTGTAGAGTGTACAGAGTATTGCGTATTGCGGCTCGCATGGAAGATGGGCAGCTGTCACCTCTGTCAGCCAGTGACTATGACAGCTCTTCGTCCTTCAGACAGCTTGCCAGTGATGGATGTGGGGTGTCCTGGTCGGTCAGGGAGAGCCCGCAGCACAAGGCGGAGAGGGCTTCGGTTCTCGCAACTCCAGGGCGAGTTGAGAAGGAAGATCCAGAGAGTTTGTCAAAGCTGCCGGGCCATGTCCATTTCGATGAATCCTTCTGCAAGCCCCCCAGGAAAAACCCGAGGAAGCCCTTGCAGCTGATTGGCCATCACCTGGAGCCAAAGGATCCCGGGCAGCCGGAGCAGCCGGAGGGAGAGACCGAGGAAGTTAGGCTTGAGACGGCAAAAAAGCCAGTTCCTGCAAAGCGTACTGGCCAACGGTGGCTGGGGCATCCTCCGCGGCCGGCTTCCTTGCCCCAGCGGACGAACGTCCCGATGGAGGTTTGCGGGAGTCCGCTTTGTGCAGATGTGGCATCGTTTGATGCCCCAGCCCGGCAGGGCACGGTCAGGTGGAACACTGCTGAGCTCCAGTCTGAGATTGGTATAGAAGAGCGCCTCCAAACCTCGTCCGCGGAGCTGCCAGCTGTATTTCCGAAGCCGAAACAGCGAATGCCACTAGTTCACGCCGTCAGCAAAGAAGCGATGACAGGAGAGGATGAGAAGCCTGATGTAATTGCATCAGCCTCTTCCTTCGTAGAGAGCCCTTCCTTTTACGCAGACGTGAACCAGGTGCCTTTACCTGGTCGGAAAGGTGGCCAATCGCCGAAAGCCAACAAGGAGGCATCTAAGGCTTCCAAGCGACGTGGGCCCGCAAAGGGTGCTCGTACGTCGCGACCCCGACCTTCCCAAACAGCCGAAAGAACTGAAAGAGCAGAGCTTTTACCGAGGGAGTTTGACAAGATTTCGCGCATGATCGCGGCTGGTCGAGCGAAGCATCAAAAGAAACCTGCCGATGTGTCCGAACCAGTCCAGGGGCCTGTCGAGACAGCCTCGGTCGATATTCAGTGCGAAGAATGGGCTGATTTGACGGCAGATCCTTCCGACCCTCCCGTCACTCTTTCTGGCAGAACCTTCATGCTGTTCCGCTGCGACCCCTGCGCAGTCAGCCTGGAGAAGTGGCATCGGCTGGAGTATCCCCCGCCGCCCATCAGCAAGCTACAGGTCTATCTGAACCACTTCGCATACCGATTTCCAGGAGCCCTAGATCCTCGGAAAAGGGGTTTGAGCAGCCTGTTTTTGGCCTTGCCTAGAACCGTTTCGGGTAATGAGAGTCGCGGGTACTTGCAGCCTGTCAAGCCGGTCCCAAGCTCGTCTGGACCAAGGAGTCAGAACCTTTGGTCAACAAGGCCGAACACCATCGCGACTATCGAGTCCAGACTGCGAGAAACTCCGCGCGGACTGTGAGACGTATCTGGAAGTAAAACAGGTTTAGCCGCGCGGCAGAAGCTTTCAGAAAAGTCTTATTGGGAAGCGGTTCAGTTTTGCCTGGAGAGGTCCGGGAACAGGTTGTCCTTGAAGTGCATGCTGGTCTTGCCAAGCCCGTTGCTAAGAGTGCTTGCGCTCGGCTGCCACAAGAGTTGTCCAGCAGCCAAAGGCATTGACTCGGCATCGCCACGGATCTTGCAGGCAAAGGGTTTGCCGTTTAGCCCACACATGAGCCGCTATCGGATCAAGGCAGCGAAGATCAATTCACCCCTGACCCCTGAACTGAGGCTCACAAAGAAGATGTCGTTGAAAACAGGGAGGCAGTCACCCGATGCCGCGTAAGTCGTCTCTGACTGAATTGCTGGAGGCTTTGGTGCAAAGCATCGTAGCAGAGCTGCGGAACGATGCAGAAGTGGCTTGCTTCCAAGGGGCCAGAGCCCCTGAGTTTCAATGGCAGAGGGCGCATGTCGTGCTGCACCGTCTCGAAAAAGGAGAGACCATCTGCTCCAATCAAAGCAGCTCGAGCCATGGAAGATGACGACGATTTAGAGGCCGACTCTTTGAAAGGGGCTGATTCTCTGCGTCCGGCACGGCATCTGCTGCAGCTGCAGGACGATGTTCAAGGCAGCGGCTTAGACTCAACGGAGGTGGGGGGTTTCTTGGAGAGGAGATCTGGTGCAGGGAATGGCTGTCCTGTGAGAGGCTTTGCCTGGGCTCGGCGCCGAACGGCTTCCAATCAGCGAGTTTGACTGCGCTGGAGGCCGGCTCTGGGACTCTTGCTCATCGCATGTACGGCGGAAGCCTCTACATGTTGCCATGCTTATCTTTTCCTCAGCCTCTGCTTCCTCGTCTGCTGCCAGTCAGAATCTCATTACGCTTGGTCTATTGGTGAAATGTCCTTCTTGTGGAAGCGACATGCTTACCGTGACCCCACCGCCAGGTCGCGACCTGTCACAGCAACAGGAGAAGGGTTATTCTGGACTCCTCGAAACAAAATCAAGCAGTTCTTGCTTGTACAAGTCTGAGGCCCTAGACTCCGATGTTCCTGCAGCCTTCAGTCTCGATATGCGGGGCCTAGCAGGCATCATGAAGCTACGCCTGTTGCTTATCGTCCTGTGCGGGAAGGGAGCGGGAACAGCTTCAATAGTGTCGTGCCAGAGAAGCTCCTTACATACCTGATGTTATGCACAAAAATTCGAGGGTGTGTCTCATTGAGTGGCGGCATGTGTTGTCTGGCCACTTCTGGTGTCCCGCCCCCAAGCTCGCTTCACCTTTTTCCGATATGTTTGTTCTTTTGCCTGTGCAATGCCCGGTGTCCAAAGCTATCCAGGAGGAGTGTCGTTTGTGCAAATGAAGTGACTCGGGTTTTCGGGTGGTGGCGCATGACACCTTTTCTGACGAGTCTGATCGTGCAGCTTTTTGGGGTAGCTTCCGATCGTAGGGCGTTCGAACCTCACTGCACCAAGTAACCAAGTAAGTTCCAGTACCCGCTGGTGGCAGCTCGGTGCCATCTGCTAGAACGCAGGTCGGTGCTCCCAACAATCGTAATTTGACATGCTTGGCTTCTGTCAAAATCACTTGCTATCGAGTACTGCTCCGCCCATGGCTCTCCCTTATTTAGAAATCTTCGATGGCGCTGCGTCCTCTGTCCTCCGACCTGACGCATCGGTCCGGTTGGTGGCCGATGGATTTGGCTTTACTGAAGGTCCGGCCTATGATGTGCGCACAGGTTGGTGGTACTTCTCCGATATCCCGGAAAGCCGCATGTGGCGTTGGCACCAGGATCATGGGTTGAAACTTTTCAAGTCACCATCTCACAAAGCGAACGGGAACTGTCTGAGCCGCGAAGGTTGTCTGGTGACTTGTGAGCATGAGAGCAGGCGTCTCAGCATGACTGATCTGAGGGCCTTTGAGGCATCGCTTGATGGCGAGGCTCAAACGGCTGGGTACAAGGTGGGGGTGTCTCATTTCGACGGTAAGCCGCTGAACTCTCCCAACGATGTGATCGAGCGCAGCGATGGGACACTGTGGTTCACGGACCCGGATTACGGGACCATGGCAGAGATGGGCCACGGTGATTCAATCGAGCAGCTTCATAACAATGTCTTCTGCTTCCATCCTGCCACCAACGGCATGGTCAGTGTGTCCTCAAATGAGTGCCGGCCCAACGGGCTTTGCTTCGATCCTGCGGAAAAGTATTTGTACGTTGCAGACTCTGGTGCATGGTTTGAACGTCGCTGGCATGATGGCAAGCCCCATCATGTTGTTCGCTACAGTGTCGAAGCCGACGGAACCCTGACTGACCGGCACGTGATCATCCAGCTCGAGAAAGATGGAGGTGGGATTCCTGATGGCCTTTGCTGCGATATCCAAGGCAACGTCTACGTTGCTACATTTGAAGGTGTCCACATCTACACACCAACAGGAGGATTGCTTGCTAAGATTCGGACACCGGAGACCACTGCAAATATGTGTTTTGGTGGCCGGGAGAATGAGACACTTCTCATGACGTCGACAAGCTCCATATGGATGCTTGACATGTCTGTTCAGGGAGTTCCCTGTGCACTTGGCAGCCAGAGTGGAGATATCGCGACGGAACATCGAAAGACAAAGGGCGACAAAGACACAGAAACATGCAGTGCACAGTTCGAGGTGCAAGCGCTTTTCACTTGCCCAGCCTCGTGTTCACATTTTGGGAGTGCTTAGCGAGAAGGCTTTCTTTTGGCACCTCTCCCCATAGTATTTGCCTGCTTCGCGCCTTCACCATGCTTTGTTCAATGATCATAAGCGTAATGATGTTTGCAAGTAGGTGGCTCGCTGGCCAGGCACAGCCTACACTGGGCGGGTATGCGCTGTACTTGCCAATCGTCGGTGCCTCTTCTGACCAGCATTGATTGTTTGCACGAGCTCAAGACAAGGCCGAGGAGTTCTAGTTGACATCAACTGCGAGACGCCCGCGCACCCCAGCGGCACAGGGGAGATGGGACCTGTGAACCCGTAAACCAAGGCATGTACATGATTCAGCTTGTTGCAGGCTGTTGTTGTCTGCGGTGGGAGCAAAGACTAGACATGAACAGAGCCACCCTTTCTCCAAGCTGTCGGCTTCTTGCGCTGACTCAAGGTTTTGGTGTCCGGAGCTGGCGCCTGCCCCAGCTCGCTAGTGCTGGACACATTGTACAAGCATACTGAAGATTTCGGTGGTTCGGGCTGTGTGCGAGACGAGAGACTGTCATGGGGGGGGGGTTTGGACATGCAAGGCTTTGCCTGCCAAGCAGATGCTTTGACAATGCCCATGGCTTGCGGGTGCATGTTTAGTCGTTAAGCAAGTCGGAATTCCGAGTCGATTTGAGAAAGCTTGTGAACAAGCCGCGGCAGCGGCGATAACGACAACAGATGACAACAGATAGGAGTAGGAGTAGGAATATAGGAGTGAGAGGAGGAGTCCAGGAGGCGGTGGAGGAGGTGCAGGAGGAGGAGGAGGAGAAGGAGGGAAAGTAGGACGGGGAGGGGTGTGTCAATGGCAACGTTGCAGTAGTCCGATCACTGCAGACTGTGTACAACAGAAACCACATCTCTTGTTGCATAAGTAAGCGAAACAGCCTAGATCCGTGGAAATCAGTATCAGCCTGGAGCCAGATCGGGCGAGGGACAAGGGTATTTACTGGTGCTGGTTGCGCGAACAGCAAACATTCAACAAGAGCTCGTAGGATCATGCCAACATGCGGCGCTCGATGGGATTGGTGAGGTGTCTACCCCTTCATCGGCATCTTCATCTCGAAGTGGATCCTCCAAATCTGAGCGCACATGTGCTGGCCCAGAGGCAATGATGGGACACTGTCCGTCTGATGGCTTGGCCTTCTCTGCGCTGCCTTGCAGGAGCTTCCACGGCTCGGCAGTGAAATGGAGGTCTCCGTCACGGCGTCGCCCATTGATCGGAGTTCCGGCCTTTTGCAAGCATTTCAGACGGGCAGGTCTATTGCTGCCCCAGGCACAGTGGGTGCCTTCGTTGTAACCTCAGAAAGCATTGCCGTGTGTCCACTTCTTATATGTGAAGTCGCCTGAGGCGCTCTCCGTGAGCCACCCCCGCGGCCGTGCACTAAGACTGCTGACCTGACAGGGTTGCGTCTTGGGACTTGGGACTGTGTGAACGTCGCAGAGTCGGGGGAGGTTGGGTGGATTTTCGCAGCACGCTCCTTTGAAGTCTTGTTTTTTTTTGTGGCTGCTCGTGCGTTCCAGGCTGTGCTACTCTTGACCTGCAAAGCATTTGTTTTGAGCGATCAGCTTTTTCCGGGTTCCGTGTGTCACCCCACCTTGGGCTTCTTCTTGGGCCGTGCCTGCCGTTGGGTTGCCTTCAGACGCTTTTTTTTCGACCCCAGCCCATCCGTCGGTTGCTAAAGGCCGGCAAGCCAAGGTTGGCCAGGCGCGCCGGAGTTGCGCCCCTTCGTCTCGAGGAGCCGGCTCCTCTGCTCCCCTTGGCTGAAAGCTGGGTCCTGTTTGCAGATCCAGCTTGTGCTCTCGCGTGCTGACAAGGCTGCGGCCAGGGCTTGGACCATGGCGTCGCAGACCAAGACTCTGAGACTTATGCCATCCCAGCAACGCCTTGGAACTTCCAGGTGCTATTGTTATATCTGCGACGGATGATGGCACGCTCTAGCCCCGGACATGCATCACCCTCGAGTACTGGTGCCCCACATTCTCCACATTTCGCATGCACACTTCGACATTTCATGGGCTCCTTGAGTTTAGTCACCTCCAGTCTTGATCCAGTTGCTCGGCATCGACGGCTTTTTCCTTAGGCGGTGCTTGCGGCGGAGTTGTTGCTGTCGTGAAGCGTCACTGAAGACTAGTAACTAGTAGGCTTGGCAGGCTCCTGTATTGGGTTTCTTTTCGATACTAGTTGTGCTTTCTAGCCGAGCAAGGCTGGTCGATTTCAATTGTGAGATTCCAGGCCCCGCACCAAGCTGATGCGGTCATGTCTTGCACCCTTGCACCGTCTTTGCTCGTCGTGCTTGCCGCCAAGGGCTGCTCCGGTCGGATCAGATTCATCTCCGTGGTGAGGAGCTGCGAGCCACAACCTTGATTTCTACACTCTCCGGTTCTCGGAGTGTGGACCGGGGCTTTGAATTGCTGCCAGACGTGAGGTGTACTGCCATCGAGTCGCCCCGCCCTGTGGTAGGGGGTTGCGCCCTGCACTCGTTTGGCGTTGCGGCGATTCTGAGGATGTCCCGGTGAGGATGTGCATCGTCAGCACCGTCAAGGCGAGAGATCCCACCAAAACAACTGAGCAAATTGAGCAACATCCCTGTCTACGAGGAGACGAGGGCTGAGACTTCCAGGAGGCACAGAGCACAGACCCTGAAACATTCTCAAAGCAATGATGGTCAGGCAACTCGAGGACCTCATCTCTGGGGACACATCTGCAGGGATTCGGGGCACAGCCGGATCCTGAGTTCCGAATCTGTTTCTTGGGACATTCACGAGGGAATCCTACTCGTCCTTTTCAGGTCTTGCGTGTGACGGGATCCGGCGTTTTCGTAGACGTGAACTGCGAGGAGCATGCCCGAATGGTGCTGGCAGTTGCTGTGCGGCTGCGAGCTTGACTGCATCGCAGGTCCAAGGATACCTGTCGCCTATGGACATTGACATGATGGCAGCCACGTCTCTTTGCAAAGGGTACGAGGCGATTCATTTTCTTTCATGGCCGAGGGTGCTGCCTGGCATTCCTTTCAGAAGTATGCCCCTGAAAATGTAGGTGACAGTGTATGTGAAGTCGGTGAACCTCGTGAAGAGACAAGTTGCGTGCGAGCCTCACACGCGGGGTTGGCGTTCCAAACACAAAGAGGATCTTTTGCTGTCCGGTGCAATTCTCCGGAGTCTGGCATTTGCGAGGTTGTCAATGCATCGGATGCGCAAGGTCAGGGTCATCAATGGTCAAGGCACAGCTTCTGCAAGGATTTTCTCTGGAATCTCTTCACCGGTGCCGAATCGCTGCCAGGTATATCCGAAGCTGCATAAGCACGAGCAGAAAGGTCTTACCAACAAAGCCAGGGGAAGACCTCCTGACACGCAGCTCTCGAGCACCGTTGGTCAAAGCTGCCTGGAATGCAGTCAGCAGGTGATGTGCAAGCGGACGCACGGATGCCCGCACAGGCAACCTTGAAACAAGGATGCTTTTGTGGGCGGGAGTGTGACGATTGATTAGCATCCACTCGTTACATCCCCATGTCTTCATGGGTCCGTGCAAGCGAGAGGAAACAATGTGTGGGTCAGAAGTTTCTATGATCCCAGTTTGCTTTGGAACTTTGGCTGGCGTCCTTTGTTTTTGATTCCGCGAACATCGATTCCTTAGTGCAGGACTACTGTTCTAAGTTTCCTCCACGTCGCGGTCATGTTGACGAAAGGAGACTCTGTGAGTCTCCAGAGGCTCTTTGGGTCTTTGAGATGCGCTGCCGCAAGTGGCCACGAAAGGCCGACCCGGACCGCAGCCGTCTTGCAGTGGAACGTCCCACATGTAGCATGACCCTTGGCATTCTCCCTGGTGATTCTACCGGCAATTTGTCTAAAGTGTCTGTTTCAGCTGTTAGGATGTGCTCATGTCCAGATGCTTTTGAATTTAGCAGATCAACACCATCGTGCAATGTATCATGATCCTGCTTGTTGTATGATCCCGTTTGAGTGCCCGCCTTGTTGCCACAGCGGATGGATTCTTCCTTCTTTTCGCAGCCTGCGATCTCGTGAGCCCGGCTAAATTTATGTAGTAGAATCCGGGCTGTTTGGCATTCCTGGCAGATCTGTCGCGAGAGCGATGATAATTCTGTTGACGGCAGCCTCAAGACTGGGTACTCATGAGTTCCTCATGAGTTCCCGATCTTGGCCTGGCTGGCTGTGGGTTGCATACTCGTGACATGCGAAGGTACTTTCAACCTTTCCAGTCTCCATGCGCCACTGCCCCAGCTGGTGCTTCCCTGTTTTGGCCTTGCGATTTCTGGGACTGCTACTGCCTGCCGCTCTCGATTCGTCATTTGCTCCACGATGAAGTGGTCAGTATCTACCACAACCCCCACCTTTCCTTCCCAAGCAGCAGACCTTAAAGTGCTACGTAGCGGCGTAGCTTCTCAACCACGAGCCATGACCTGACAGCAGCTCTGGCGACCAAAAGCTGCAGAAGCGATGGGCTTTCGAGGCTGTGACATACTGTACGGTGTTCTTGAGACATGCTGCCGTGTTCTTTGCAAAGACCGGCAGGCTGGGTGGTGTATGGGTCCTCTGTCCCCAGGCTTGCAAGCTTGCACTTTCTACATGCTCTCAAGATCTGTCGGTGTCGATCAGTGTTATTTGGATGCACGTGGTCATGCAGGTTCTTCTCCTGCTTCTATCCAGTGCGTGGATTCACGATGTGGCCGTGCGTCTGCATTCGCGAGTCGAAGGAGGAACTTGAAGGCGAATACATCGAAGAGCATCCTGGTGCAAATAGGGCTGCGTACGTGGAGCTTGGTGGACCTTGCTGACCAACAGAGAGTGTTATAGTGAGATCCGGAAGTAAGGTTCATCAACCACGAGCAGATTCACATTGCCCAGGCAAACACTGGGCAACTGAACGTGCTTGTGTTGCATGAATGACCATGCGGGTGGGTTGTAATTCTAACCACTTTTCTGACAGGCCTCGGAGATGTGCTGCATCTTCATGTACTTGCTCTGGGTCTTCGATTTCTTGAAAGGTCTTATGTGCATTGGGTCACGTGGCTACCAAAGCTGTGCCTGTGAATGCGATGCTCGACTTTCTTATGTATGGAATCGTCTCGAGCAAGAGGCGTTTGATCACCAGCATGATCTCGAGTATCTGGACGAGCGGCCTTGTTGTGCATGGTGGCGCTATCCATCTCGTGAGGTGGCAGAAAGATGGCTGTATTGTCAAGGCCAACACGCCTGAGCTCAACCATGCTCAACAGGACGGAAAGACCTGCTACCTGCATCTCCATACTCCACATGTCCGAGGACGATCTGCTAAACGCATGCTCAAGCATGTGGCACGCTTTGGATTTGCAAACCCGATGCCACGCGAAGAAGACTGGCATTGGACAAGGAGGCTTAGCATCAGGAAATACAAGGGTGCGACCGACAAGGTCAGTTCAGTGAACAGTCTGGCATGGTGTACAGACATCCGTAGCGGAGGTGAAAAAGCAAGGATGCTATCGCAAGCATTGGTAGATGCGGTGATCGCTGCCGTCACCCATGCTGGTTGGATCTGCCATCGAGGGGCCATCGCTCATTTCCTGTGAGCCCGTGGCCTGCGAGGCGTTTCTGTCATGTTGCTTTCAGTAGAAGTGAAGCGTTTCTTCGACATCTTCAGCCACGCTCGCAGCGTGGAGGACTTTGGTGCCAAGTATGAGAGCATCTCGTCCAAGGCCTTCGCAGCATGTACGTGTGTTTGGTTTGATATTTCCCAGGAATCGCGTTGCGCTGAGGGTACCACAGCACTCTACGCTTGACCCTTCCCCAACACTAGGCAGCTTTTTCTAGGGTGACTTTCTCCTCTTCTTCGTAGTTGCGGTTGTAGCGTGGTCGTAGTCATAGTCGCAGTCGCAGTTGCAGATCGTAGCAGTGCTGGTTGTACTAGCCACAGACACAGCGAGCTATGAGAGCATATGCACTTCTTGTGTAGGAATCGCAAAAACACAAACGGTATCAGAAGCAGGAAGGCGTTTGCAGCTGCTCTAGTATGTCCGTAACTGCGGACACTCTTCCCGAACTGCATGATTCCCATGTAACGAGTTCGGAAAATTGAACTTTACTAACCTATGTGTGAGAAACGAAGGGCAAAGATGCCGATGATGGGTCGTCCTGGGCGGAAGGCATGCAAGTACCCAGTTCTTTCGCACCAATCTCCTTCCAGGTAAGTCAATTGACACTGCTGACTTTCCGTCGTCTGCAAAGCGTGAAATCCGCATCGTACTGAACAGTCTGGAGTTTTATTCTGCAAGGCTAAAGGCCTGCACCAGGGCTTTATCGCCCTGCCCTTGTCGCACCGATTGCACTCGCCGGTTGCACCCAGATTGCTCGTTGATCATGCCGTCCGTAGTGGTCGGGCAGGGGTCGTGGGGCAATCTGGAAGCGTAGTCTGCAGCCGCTAATGTCACATGTGGTAGGTGTGCGGCTGGGCTGGCGAGCTTGGGAAGGCTGTGCGGTTACAGTCTGATGGTCTGGTATTTGACCTTGTCCGAGCGCAACAGGACCATGACCTAAGACAAGGAGCTGACTGTGCGCGGCTTTTCTCACAGCCGGCACCTTTCGAGGTGGCAGTTTTGGATTGTTTGCAAAGCCGTGTGCGGACGTGGGTAGCAGGTTAGTGCAGAGTTTCCCAGCAGCGAGCTGATTCCGACTGCACAACGGCAACCTCGTCACTCTCCAAGCTTTTCTTTTCTGGCCAGACCGCTAGTAACGACCTCCAACGCTTGTGGATCAATGAGGTGTGGACTTCCTCAGCAGTGCCACAGCCATGAAGAGCATTTTTCGGGCATCCTTTGACACGGACCCGCCGCAGCATTGCTCTGAGTCTTTCTTTTGATGGGGAGTCTGCTTGAGGAGTCCGATGTGGGTGTTACGGTGCATCGTTTGGGCGATTGGTCCCCCGCTTAGCTTTTCCTGGACTTGCCACGCCACTCCCTTGAGTCTCCTTCGACGTGGACCGTAAGGTTGGTCATCGATGATGGCAGCGAGCTTTCATGGTCGCCATCTCCCGGCAGCCCAGACAACACTGCATGGGTCGAGCTCTTGGGCTTCTGGCAAGTTACTGAACCACAAGTTCAAGTTGTTGCTGTGATTCTGGAATCATAGCACGGAGCCAAGACGGAACGCGTTCGCAGCGCCGAGCAGCAGCACGACGAATGCTTGGCCAAAGTAGAGGCCGAGGGACTTGTCTTCTCAAAGGTTGGCAGACCGCAGTTTTCTGCAGGCAGCCAGGCTAAAGCTGATCGACTCGCAACAGTATGTTGAGAAGGACCACAGATGAAGTTGTAGTCCCGTTGCACGAGCGACATCCACCTCCGTGGCCCAGTTGAAGGTCCGATCCATGTTGTGGAACGCAGAAGTGGCCACCGACCCAGAGCAACTTCGTAGAGTCGATATGACGGGTAGCCAAGTCGAGCACAGCTATCATTTGTAGCCTGGCTAGGCTGCAAAGCAAGCCGATGACGAACTCCGCGAGGCCAAGGGTCCCTAAGTTTGAGGCAGAATTCTCATGCGGACGTCTGTTACGCCTGTTACGCATCGAAGTAGTCCAACGGTGTGTCACGACCAGCGTTCGTGAGAAGCGTGGCAATCTGTGCGAGCTTTGGCCCTCAGCCCTTACGATACAAAGGAGTTTAAACAAGTGAAGCAGAAGCAGCAAGATTCTGAGCAAGAGAAGATGCCCTACATTGCGATTGGAAGCACGGCGATTCAAGCACGCGAGATTTAATCATCCGCGATTCGAGCACCCGAGATTCACACAGCCGCCGTTCAGGAGCTGCGATTCAATTTCCCATGTCGAGTCACCCAGCATTCAAGCAAGAACCGCTTCGGTACCGAGGGTTTCAAGGTTTAGGACCGTTTAGGGTTTAGAGTTTCAGAGTTTCGGCATTTGCGGTTTTGCGTTTTAGGGTTTGGGGCCATAGATTTGGGATTTAGGACTTAGGGTCTCACAAGACAGTCGTTGGTGTTCTATACTTTGGGCTTTAGGGTTTTTTTTTGGATTTGTTACGATAGGGGTGAGGGGCTCAAGGTTGGTTTTCGGGGCACCAGCATTAGGGTTTTCGGGTTTGGAGTTTGCTGTGTGGGATTTTTAGGGTTTAGGAAATTTAGGATGCTAGGGTTTAGGGTTTCGTGTTTAGGTTTCGTGATTAGGCTTCATCTGCAAACGTGTTTTCGGGCGTTCTTCGGCACGACGTTGTGCGCATGTGTGCGGTCGTTGCGTACATGTGTGCGGCTGGTGTGCGAATCTCTGCGTTTGAATCCGGTGATTTCAGTGTGCGAATGTGGTGCACGTGCACGAAAAATAGGCTGTGCGCGAATCAGCGGTCTGCGAATCAGTCGGCCAGTGTGTGAACCGGATGTTTCTCGAACGAATCGGCCGCCCAGACCGTCACAGCGAAGTTGCCAACAGCCTCGTCAAACCCCCTGTCCAAAAACCTCAGTCCTATCGACAAGTGTTTCTCGCTCGAGTTGCAGCCTGAAGGGGATGCAAGTTGAAGCTGGTTGAAGCTGCAGTTCATGCAGCAGATGACGCTTCATCTAACAGCGTATCGAACTCGCGAAGCATGTTGCAGGCTCTTGCAGAGGCCGATCAGGCGGCTGCAGCTTGCGCCTCCCTCAGACACGACCGGGTGTTTGGCAGACTCAGGGTCCCTACCTTCCATAAGGTGAACGCTTAAAAGCTCAAGACGCCGCACCTTTCTTTGAGTCGGCGGAACCTGACGGACGAGGCATCCGCAAAAAAAGGTAAGCTGCATGCTTGCATAGCAATGCTCCTTGAGAGGCGATACTTTCATGGAAGAGGATCCCACTCAAGCAGATGCGAGCTATCAGGCTCGACTTCCTGTGCATCTTGACCGCACACATCTTGCGCATTGCAGGAAGATCCTGAGCTTTATCGCAACTTCTTGGGGCACTCCATCCGCCAGTTGCAGGATCTTGTGCTCGCCCATTAGCCAGCAAAGATCGGTAAGCTACGAGGATGGGACTATGAGTCTGTGAGTGGTTTCGCAGGACGAGCCTGCTGAATCCGAAAGCACAAAACACAAGGAGCGCGAGGCTGTCTGGTGGCTTCTGTGCTGTTTTCCGATCTGGATTTTCAGGATGTTCCGAACCACTCGCCAATTCGCTCACGTGTTCTTTTCCTAAGTTGGAGCCCGGTGGAAGCAAGCAGTCAACCGACTCACGGATCCTGTCGCACTCATCTTGTTGTCGCGCTTGTGAGCTTCAACATCTACATTGGTGACCCTGTGAAGTTTCAGCAGGAAGCCTCTTTGTGCAGGTTCGCCGCACTTCCGCGACTTATCGTCGTCAGTTGTTATATGCAAGCACAAGGGCAAAGAGCGTCACTGATTGCCGTACCATTGCCTTGTCCTGGAAGCAGAACATGCTCTGAATCCACATGCTAAGTTATTCAGCTTAATGTTTCCGCGCGTGAAAGTTTCATAGCCACCTCTGGCGAGCAGGTCCACACTTCACCGGCTTGTCGCAGCCACAGTGCAAACATTGCTCAGTTCAGCGTTGGATTGCCGATAGTTTCTCATGTTGTCGAAAAGAGGTCAAAATGGTGAGCTGGTGCTTCTGGACAGCCCGCCCGCATCTTTTCATCAGGCGGTGTTCGGCAACTACTCGTCAAAGACGTGACACAGCTTGCATGCTGGAAGATCGACAGGTTGGCATCTGGAAGATAGCCGACGATGCTTCAGTGGTCGTTGGCAGTCGTCTGCTTTGCCTGGGGAATTCGGAGCATCCGAAGTTGACGCTGCACCTCTGAATGCAGAGTGGAGAATTACGCTATGCTGAAGACGCCGGTCGTAGCGCCCAAGGTATCTGCACGACGACAGAGTGATCTCAGACACGATGTTGTTGGAACACTGGGTTGAGTGTCTTATGGCCCGAGCCTCCGAGCATTCCCCCAATATTTGTGTGACGCGTGAGCGAGTGTGGGCCTCTCCAGGCTGGGGTTCCGGAGTTCGCCATCTGCTTTCACCGGGACGGCGCTGTTCAGCGCGGGCCCCGGGATGTGACGCTGGCTCGCCTTTTTTGTGATCGACATCAATGCAGAGGGCGAGATCTGCTGTTCTGCTGCCTCCGCACTCAGGTCATACTCACTGTACAAGGTGTCGGAGTTACAGAGCTTCCTTGAAGAAAGAACCTTGCAAGCGTTTACTTCTGGCACTGTGTGCAAGAAAGAGAGCGCAGTTTTGACTTTCCGGCATTGGATTTCTGCTTTGCCTGAGGAATGGAGCTCGGCAGGCGTGTGCAGATGACGTGCGCATCCACAGCTTGTTGTTGGCAGCTTGCTGCATGGGCCTTCTTGCGTCAAGCCTAACCAGGTTGGAAGTGCTGCGCTGGATCAAACGACAGCCGGGATCTCAAGTGCCTCAGTTTCATCCGCACGGCCAGCAGTGCCGCATTCGCTTCAGGTGTCGACTTGAGGGCTGCAGCTATTGGCTGTCAAAGGACGCAAGGGAAGCAACCGAAGAATTGCATTACAGACTGCTGTCAGGACAAGAAAGACTCAGCTCTAAAGCTCATGAAGCACCTCAGCCGCACTCACGCGAGTCACGCACGACCACCAAGCATGCCGCCAGTCGAGCACAGCTTGTGCCTTCTGCGCTTTCTGAGGTTGCCCAGGGCCGATGCTACTACGCCCAGCAGCCAGCGGCCTGAGAGTCTCAACGTAGCACCAGAGTAGTTTTACAGTGTCACAAGCGATTTGCAATCGGTTTCATTCAGATGAAGGTGCTCTGCCCCGTGAGGTGATGCACGCCCCCTTCCGCTTTGCAGTTGTAGCCTTGGACTTCCTGCCCTTCCTGGCGACGAGTCGTTTGAGACCATTCGGGTCATGGCTGCAAGGTTCCGCTGCAGCACCACAAGGGTTGGTCCTGAAAAACACTTTCCTGGACATCCCGGATGAGGTGTGGCCTCCGGTCCTGATAGCTCGGGGCCCTTTGATTCCTCGCTGAGGACTCGGAGTGTGGGGACTTCCGTCGAGCCGAGCACTTTGGAAGACTTGAGGCCTTCTTGTTGACGTCCTCTGGGATGCTTTGACCCAGGCCTTGAGCTGCCCAGCTCGTTTTCTCTGCGAGACCATGGACGACCTGCTCCTCGGCAGACGTCCGTGGTGAGAGCTTCCGTGGTTTTATGTGAAAAGAGTGTGTTGAAAGCAAGGTCGCACGTGTCCCCTCTCTGCGGCAGAGTTTCTGCGCTCTTCTTCAGACGTGCCGTGTCCTCCCCGTCCTGCCCTCAGACTCAGGGAGAAAACGCGAAAAGAGGCGCTCTTTCTTGTTGTTTGCTCTTGTTGGCTTTTCCGCCGTTGTTTCTTTTTTCGCTTTAGACCACTTTGAACGCCCACTTCTGGCTTCTCTTTCTCTTCGCTGGCACCGGGAGGCCGAGCCTCGCTGCCGCGGCCGCCCACTTCTTTCGCCAGGTCTTGGACCTGGAGGTGCCGGCCAGCCGCCGATTTCAGAGAGCACCGGGCAGAGAGAGAGAGAGAGAGAGTGTAGGGGAGCTTCTCCCCTCTCCCTCAACCCTTGGGAAAGAAAGAGTGTAGGGCGAAAGAAAGAGACAACTCCCCACCACAACCCTGGAGAAAGAAAAAGAGACAGATGCTGCTTGAACTGTAGCCGGCACCGCACCCGCAAAGGCGGGGGAGACAGGAACCGTAAAGCTTGTAAACACCAGCTACTTAGCAGCCGAGGCCCCTAATTGCTAAGGAGCACTAAGGAAGATGCCGGAGAGGAGGCTTCGAAAGGGTTTGGGTTTGCATTAAGTCTCACACCGACTCAACCGGACTTGGACACCGGCGTAGCGCTCCAGCGCAGGGGTTTGGGGCAGCGTACCCCAGTCCTCCACACGCCCCGCCAGCAAGCAAACAGATAGAGAGAGATTGGGAGGTCGCGAAGGGGCTGAGAGGCGTGGGCACCCCTGCAGGCCTTTAGCACGAACTCGGGCATCGTCTGGTCCGGAGCCGTGGACGAGACGGGAGGGTCTTTGGCTCAGGAATGCCTCGTGGCGTTTCAGCCTGGGAGAGTCTTGGAAGCTTGCAGGCCAGCACCAGATGGCACCGGCGGACGAGCGGCCCTGCAGGCCTGGGGACCTTCGGATGTGCTTCGGATAAATCGCATCGGATGCCTTCGCAACTTCTGTGATGTTGAGCTCAGGCGTACAGCCACTTGGGCCTGGCACTCTGTGAGCTGCCAAGTTTCGGCCGTGAGGAGAATGTCTCAGATTTCTCGGAGAACTCGGCATCCTCGGCATCAGCCCAAGCAGCTTCCCTGCTGGCCGGCTTGCGCAGGGACATTCCCATGGCGCCCCGTGGACGGGGTCGGTGTCCACACCGGATGCTACCCCTCTGGACTGGTGCTGCCGAACTGGAAGCTGGATGTTCTCCGCTTCTCTTTGTGGCGGTGCCTCCATGTCCTGCGCTGCCAAGCTCGCAAGGGAGCTCTCCTACACTCCCGCAAGCTTCCTGCACGTTGGCCTTGAGCAGAACAGCGGATGCCTTGAGCCTGCAACTTGCTGGAGAAGATGAGAAGCGCTTCAACATATTGGCGCTGCCCACAGCAGCTCTTGTTCTGCTACAGCTGGCATCAGCCGTGATTGAGTGGAGCGATTCCTGCCAGATCCTCAGATGTTGCCTTGTCATTTTGCACGGGCTGTTTGAGTGCTGTTTTGTAACCAAGGTGACCATGGCTCAGATAGGACGAGGACGCTGCTTTGGCGAGCCCTCATCGCAGGGCAGAAGTTTGCGGCCCTGGATGCAGCCGATCCGACCCTGCCTAAGCTCCACGTCAGCGAGGGTACAAAGCAGCAGAGCAGTCGCTTTCCGAGGCCGAGGCCACAACTACAACCCTTCTTCACATCCTTGCCGTCTAAGGAGGAGCCATCTCCAGAAAGTGCACCTGACTCGATCTTATTTTTGCGTCTAGGACTTCTAGGAAAGCCCGATCTCTCGCAGGAGCTTCTGGTTCGCTTCGAGTGAGGGCCCGAGGAAGGAATCGGCTGGGGGCAAGTCCGGAGAGCTCTGCCGAGCTCCTCTGAGGCATCTCTGTGGGCGTGCATTGCTGCTGTTTGCAAGCTCGCATGACAAGGCTGTGCAGGGCTTCGCATACTTCTCAGAAAACATGCTTAGTAAACTAATCTCCGTCTTCATCATCTTCGTACTGCACATGCTTCTTTCTCATCTATGCATGGGAAAGGGTGCTTGAAGCTTTGCCGTGCGGTTCACGACATGTTCATCCATTGTGACTTTCGTTTGCTCTTCAGGCCAGGAGAGCTTCGCCATCGCATGATCCGCCTGAGGCATGAACCTGAAGACTTTCTTGCAGCAGCCGGACGGTGAGCGAGAAAGTCTTGCATTGCGGGCTGAGCTTTGAGCTTTGTCACAGGTGGTCGGCTGTGATCACTTCTCTTCTTTGCAGCTGTTTTGCATGTCGGTCCATGTAGGTGAGGACGAAGCACCGGATCATCTGTTTCGACCGGTATCCAGATTTCGTTGTTTGTGTCGGGCAAGACGCTGTCGAACCTGTCCGTCAGTGCTGTTTTAGACCGAAAGTATCCCCGGGAGATGCCAAGCTTTCGGTGCTCTTCGGCAGGCAGCCGCTTGGGATGAGTTGGACAGCCAGCTGCGCAGGTATTCCGCAGAATTCTGGTGTTACACTTTAGCAGCTTTGGGCTTTTTTGTGGTTCACGGACGTGAGATGCCTCGCTTTTCACAGGTTAGAAACCTGGCTGGACGTGCAGAACTCCGAGGGCAAGGCCGTGAGTTTTGGCGCACAAGACAGCGGAAGCTCAGCAGTCTAAGCAGGTTGAGGCGGCTCTGGCTCGTCTCTTTCCAGATCAAGTCGCTTCCTGAGCATTCACATGTGGACGCGGTCGGAGCACGTTTCGCGCGACTGCAGCGTGGGCTTCCGAAAAGTGGCTGCCAGAGGTGGACGAAGAGTCAAGGCACTTGTTTTGCAAAGTCGCGATAGCACGCAGGATCATGCATGCTCGATGTACACGCAGTCTGCACGACTTGTCAGAGATTCTTCCCGAAGGTGGAGCCTGTTCGATGGCAACAAGGTGAGTCGCACATGCAGGACGTAAGATGCTCTTGCTCTCGGGGTCATGCTCATCACCCAACATCAATGTTTGGTCCGTGTGGTCATCCCAATGCCAAGACCAGAAGTCCAGATTTGTGGGGAGCCGAAGCCGCCAGGCCTGTGAAGTGCACCGTTGGCGCATTCGCGCTTCGTGGCATTTGCAGCGGAGCCTGCGCCTGCTTCCGCCCAGCATCTTGGAGGCTCAAAAGACGTCCTGTCGGTCCCTCCTCCGGAGTCGACCTTCCGGGTAGGGGGGTTTACATGAAATTACGGGGTCATTCTGTTCTTTTCTTGCCACGACTGAAAAGGCTGTCTTTGCAGACGGGATCGCAACGTAGCGGCTAGTTCGTTTTCCGTGAATTTTCTCCTGCCGAGTCCTGGACGAACGAATGCGAAGGTTGCTGTTTTCATGCTTGGCATGAGCTTTTTCATACACAGGATGAAGTGGATGCCTTCGATGTATGTTGACATGGAAACAAAGAATGATTCCGTGAGAGACCTGCAGGCCTCTGGTGCAACCCGCCCTCTTGCGTATTCCCGGCCCCTTGTGCGAACAAAACAGCGAACAAAGGCGAACAAAGCGGCATTGCGAGTCACTAGTAAGCCCACATACTACGGTCCACCCGGGTCCATGGACGGTAGAAGCTTGCAAGCCATGTAGGCGAGATCCCAGCGTTGCTGCAGCTCATTGTTGAACGTGCCGGGTCCACAGAGAAAGAGGTCGGTAAACTGACACCAGGACGTGTAGCCGTGGGTCACCAGTCTTGCACCTCAGGATGATGATGACGTTGGCCACCTCGCTTTCAGAATCTGCTGCCGGAGACCAAACTGAAAGAACAAACCCCGTCAAATCCTTTCAGTCCTCCCAGCTGATTTTTGTTTTTTGAGGCAGGGCTTGTGGGGCAAGCGGCAGAACTGGGAGAAGGTCAGTGCAAGGAAAGCGCGCGCTGAGTTCAGTCAAGTCCTTTCCTGGCAAGATGCGACCAATTCATCTTCTACCTCACTGCTGCAGGCGTGGACAGTGTCTGTTTGCGTAAGACAGCACGGCTGATGTCCGTCCGAACTTTTGCAGCAGCTGCGCAAACACCTTGCGGCTCTGCTAGGATTCATCAAGTCGCAGAGTGTCAGCTTGTGGTACATGTGGTACTGTGCCATGCGGCCCTTTTGTTCGAGATGTTGCTGCTGAAATCATTGGACACGTGGTGACACCCTTTCGCCATGGCAACTTCCCAATCCAAGCGAAAGCGCGATCATCGGCCAAAGAGGCTGTGCTTCTTGTTTCGTGAATCTTCATGTGGTAAGGAGGGCAACGCACGGCTTTGCTGCAAGCAGCTTGTGAAGCAGTTGTGAGCATGCTCCGCAGGCCAACAGCCACGTGTGAGACATCAGACTGTCCGATCTGTCATGGGAGATTGAGAAGCTGTGTGGCCCTTGTTCCTTGTGGCCATGCGTTCTGCAAACGCTGTGTGCACTTCGGATCGAACTGGGTTTGCCAAGCTGTATGATTCGAATTCATGACGACTGCGTTTCGCATGCTTCCGAGGCAAGAGTGGCTAAAGCGATCCTCGTCTTGCCCCTCCTGCCGCGCCGATGTGCTCAATCCGCGCTGGGTCCGTGTGCGGATCGTGGATGAACTGCTTGAGCTGTTTCCACTCGCGGAAGGCGTGAACATGCTCTGCCGTTGCTTGCGTGTTAGCTGCGTGCACCGAACCTATGTTCGGCTGCAACTTTCTTTCAGGGCTCATGTGCGTAGATCTGTCCGGGTTTGGCTTGGGCAGTCGGATGCCTAAGCATCGAAAACAACTTCGGCGATACTTGCCTTGCTGGTTGAGGAGCAGACTTGCCATCTGCCGTCTCTGAAGCAACTGAAGATGTCGTTCAGCCAGGATCCTGTGGGTGCCCATTCTGCACTGGAGCCGGTGCAATGCTACGCATACATCACTGAACTGATTGCAGCAAGAGAGCCTGCGACACGTTCTCAGGAACTGCCATGCAGTCCTCCGCGCCTCTGGTGGTGAAGCTTGTGGTGCCGTTCTCATACGGATCTGAAACAGGTTGTCCGTGATTGCTATCACACAGGTCTCTAGGTAGATCATGCGCTAATGCCGGTTTCCGGCTGATCCCACGATATCAGAAATTTCGAAATTTGAGACATTTGGGGGTCAGCAAGTAGGGGTGGCGAGAAACTGTTACCACCCGGATGACACTAGGGTCGTCAATTCTGTGGTTAGCTTGGCTTCGTGGTAACGGAAAGCTGCTGAGCAGCGTTGAGGTGGGTAGCAAGGCTTTCGTGATCGGTGCGTGGCTGAGGTGTGTGTGGGATGGATCTTGGTCTATGCCGACGGTGTGCAGCAGCCACGTTAATGCAGTGCGAAGAGTGTGAATCTTGGATCTGTTCTTCTTCCTGTACCTCGCGGCCATGTGTCTACTGCCGCATTTCTCACGTCTGTGCCAACTGTTACAACTCCCCGCTGAGACGCTGCCCGCGACCAGAGTGCTAGAGTCGAGCTCCAAACGGAATTCGAGCCAGCCTTACAGCATCGGGGTGCTGTTCGTCTTGGAGGTCAGTTTGCTTTGCGGGACTTCTGTGCCGCCAGGAGTGTTGGGAGGCGAAGGGACTGCTGGTTGCGAAAGACCCACATCGCCTGAGTCCTGACAGCAGGGCGAGCGAATTCCTGGAACGGACCTGACTTGCGATGTGAAGGGCATTGTACCTTTTCAAAGAGGGGGGCATGAGATGCGCGGGTGGAACCCCTGTACGTCCTGAAGCTTTGAAAATTCACCTTGCCGGATTGCATTGCGGACCTGAGATGCTACTCCCCCACGCTCAAAATGGTGGACCATGGTGGACCTGAAACTCCGGTCGATGGTGGCGACGGGCAAACATCGCCCAGACAGCGTCCGAAGCTCAAGCAGTCGCAGGCATGTTTTGCTGTAGATCGGTCCGCTCATAGGGCACTCAGATGGTTTTGCGCATGCGCCTCGCTGTTCCAAGAAAAGTTTTGAGACAAAAAGCCATGCCTCGACTGCATCTCTACGTGGTTTCTGTACCTGTCTTGCCTCTTGAAGAACGGCAGGCCTTGAGGGCGGCAAACGAGCAGCTTAGCCGCGCAGAGGATCTAGCCGATGCTGCAGGTTACAAGGCCTCGGTGCAGTTTGCTCGTTGCGATGTTTCCCGGCCAGCACACCATGGAGGCAGCGGCAGCGCTGGCCCAGGCAAGCAGAGGTCATCTCTGTGCCCTGGCTGCTGCCCAGCTCCCAGCTTCTCTGAGGACTAGGAGCATTGGGATCGTGCTTCGGATGACGTGAGATGACCATGGTAACAATGATGAGATCGGCCTCTGCGATATTGTTTTTTCTTAGCGTCTGCGGCGACGCACCAGATCCTGACTCTCCGTGGCTTGTAGCATCCAGGTTGCCCCTCCATGTCGGAAGGAAGATAGGCCAAAGTGAGCGCAATTTTCCCGAGGAAAAGGGCTTCGATGTTGCTTGTCGACACGGCCTCCCTTTATTCTGAGAGTTGCTATACTCTATTGCAAACTTGAGTTTCGCCTTGGCAATGCATGGATATGCTATTCGCGCGTGTGGCCTGAACAATCTGTCGTAGTATCACGCCTTGCGTTCACTCAAACAAGCTTTTCTGGCTTGTTTGGGCCTGATAATCTTCCTACACATCTGTGTGGCTTCGAGTGTCGGCGAGTGGACGCCAAGGATTGGATTGTGGATGCAGTTCGTCGAGGACTGCTGTGCTGCCGGGCCTCAAAGCCAAGACTCTCGCTCAACGCCTTGCGTTGAGGAGCGCATGATCCATCCGAGCAGGCTGTGTCGGACCTATTAGCCTTGGAGCTTCGATCACGGTCATCTTTTGTGAGGCTGCCGTGCTCCAGAGCTGCGGCCTCGGCACAAGCACGGACCGAAGTGTTGTGCATTACATGATTCAAGAGGCCATAAGATTCCGATTGAGCTTTCGCGAAGGCAGATCAGAAGCTGAGGCAGAACACACAAATCTATCTTCCAAGGTTTGCTGGAGGAGGAAGAAGAGGAGGAGGAGGAGGAGTTGTCACTGAGCGACGGTCAGGTGCTGCCCAGCATGTTCGAGACACGGTGCAGCGATGATGCTTGGTCCTTCGTGTCTAAATTTCCCGGCCAGGGTGTGATGCTTCTGGTGGGTCGACTTGGTGACCAAGCTGTGGCAGAGACGTATGCCAATGGCTGACTGCAAGCTTGTCGGTTGTCTTTCCACTGTGTGAAAGCTGGTCAGCAGAACCATCTGCGTTGAGGCTGCCATGCGCAGCTCGATGCTCAGCCTGGGAGTGTTGTTCTGAAAGTAAACATGCTAGTTGCTGCTAGTCAGTATGCTTAGCTCTGAGCCATTCACCGGTGCGTACTGCGTTGCAGCTAGTGTCCAAGGCATCGATTCCGTGGTCGAGCCTGACGCGGCGACAGTGCTTGCACTAATGACAAGTGGAGCTCTCCAGGTTCCGTGGGCTTGTGCTGTGCTATATCAAGATGGACGGCAGTTTCAAGGACCATGTTTTATACCACATCTGACATGCCTCGGAGCAGAACAAGTCTACTGTAGGGTTAACTTCTGTCCTAAGTGTGATGAACACTTCTGAAGGCAGCCGTCGATCGCCTTCGACTGCTACCTCCTCCGGAAGTCTCGGAGGAGCAACGTCGTCAAGTTGTCCTCGACATGCCTGCATCTCAACAGGTGCAGCCAGGCCGCAGGCCGTCCCCGCGTGCGAAGATGCGATAAGATGCGCCAAGGCTTGGGCAAGCCGTCCAATTGCTTCCCGGAGAAGGACAGTTTCCATCTCGTTCAATCCGTGCTTGAAGTGCAGCTTGACACACGTCAGGAGCCACAGCTGCCAGCACGGTTGGCGCTTGTGTGGACCGGTGGCTGTCTTAAGAAAGCCCAAAGTAACCGGGTTCGGGGGCGAAGCAAAGTGAAGTACGCAGTGCAGAAGGCAATGCGCCATGCTGTCCGCCCAAGCGCACCTGGCTCTAAGCAAGGTGCAGAAAACCATTTGGAGGGCGGGCAGAGAGAGCTTGTGGAGAACCTGCCAGGTCCATGCTGGCCTGGAAACGAGCAGCTTGGCTTGTCACGACAGGTGCCACGCTCAAGCCTCAGGCCCTGAGGGATCTTCCCTGGTTTCGCCATGTCAGGCCGAGCCGACAGCCTCACAAGACGGCACCCTGGCATCTGGACAGAGTGCGGTCTGCTTTGCACAGAGCCTCGGAGCCTGCCACGTGCCCAGAACTCACAGTGGCTCGATTCACAGTGGATCGAATGCTCGGGGCCTTTTCCAGCCATGCTAGGTCCGGCCGGAAGACCGAACTGTGGTGACTGCAATGTGCGGCTGGCCGCGTGTGTTGCTGTTTATCAGACTCCCACATGTTCGCACATGGCAGGCTGATTCAGGTCCATCTGCTTCATGCTAGCTTCATCAGTCGCAGACTCGGGAGAAGGTTCGGAGCAGCCAGCATTTAAGGATTGTTGGCTCACAAAGGCGTCGGGCTCGTGCCGACCAAAAAGAGGCAACACGAGCGCAGCTTGGGTCCTGGCCGGGCATTGCCTTCTTGCCAAATTATCGTTTTTGTTTGTAGTATTATCGTGAGTCAGTATATTATTAGTATTGCTACTCTTATATGAAACATCTGTGGTATGTGGCGTCTTCTCCTTTCAAGGTCTCGAAGAACTGCTAGCCGCAAGCCGCCTCGCTGCCAGTGTTGCCACCTCGGCTTGTCGAGGGATCCACTTCTAGAGTACTGCCAAGCAGTTCCGTTGCACGGAAGCACTCTAAGGAAGACGGTGCAAGTGGAGTAGCAGGCACGGTCTCAATGCTGCTTGGTGGATGCTCGTGGTGGTATTGCCACCAGCTCACAGGTGATCGCATGCTGCCTTTGCCGCTGAAGGCTCTTGCAACGGTGGTGTTGTGAGATATCTGGCTTGCCTGCACTCCTGCCTGCGTTAATTCCATAATTTGACAACATTCTGGCGCTGTTGTTCAACTCTTGGCAGGGTGGCTACTTGTAAGTTGACCTTCCTTCTCAGCACATGCCTCCGGAAGACTAAATTGTTTCTGCTTCGGTATGCAGTCTTCTTTGCCACCCGAGTTGCCTTTGAAGCTCTTAACCCTGGGCCACGGGCTCCTCCGAACACAACACTTGCAGAGCCACTGAGAGCAGAGGGCTAAATAACAGGCGGAAGTGTCAGCTTCGTTGCCTTGTCATTTCTGAAGAAGTCTGCTGCCAGACTGTGTGGGAGAAGATCAAGACCTTGGTGCTTGACCAGGTGCGTATGAAGCTCAGGACACACAACTGGAAGAGCGCGGGAGTCCTTGCACGTCCTTGCTATTGTCTGGTCCTTGCCACATGCAGATTCCAAGGCCACGTGCTGCGGTTGCTGTGTACAGGAAAGCCTTCAAGCTCCAACGAAGGACCGGCGAAGAGTGCTTTGCAGAACAACGTGGAGCCTTTTGTGATACCGAGGATGGAAAAGCCTTTATCGATTTGCGCTCAAGCTCGAGCCGTCCGAACTTGAGTCGATTGTAGCGCCGGTTGATGTGCCATCCTCGGATTCCGCACCCAAGGCATCAACTTTCCGAGTTGGTCAGTGCCTACGACAAGACCGCAATCTGACACCTTTGGCCAGTTAATGCCCAGGTGCACTGAATGTGCCCGCGCACCGCTAGTTTTAGAGCACTTAGTCTTCAGTGGCGCTATTTCTGCAGAGCCTGTTGCAGCTGTCCCGTCATGTACAGGAGGCGATTGCACCGGCAAAAGAGGTTTTCACAGCGTGTGCCAGTCCTGAGAAGTGTCTGTGCAGGCAGTCGCTTGATGTTGAGCACCATAGCTGTGCATGTCAGCTTTTGCAAGCAGAAATGCCACATGGGCAGCGTTGAAGAAGGCATGGAGGCAGTCAGGTTATTTGCGGCGAGCCGCCAGCACGCGTCGAGTGACATTCCTCGTAGTCTCATAGTCTGATAGTGGTACGAACCTTCGCCACAGAACGAATAGGGTGAGCAGTTGATGGACCTTGCACCCATGGGTGATATCAGGCTCGCAGTCCGATTTTGACTGTCTCTGACTCTGGACCGTGTGCACGACTTGTCACGACTTTGCGAATTTTCCGATGGACTTTAGTATGTAGGCTAGCAAAGAAGAGGCCATGCGCTGTCGAGCTTGGCTGCAGTCCTTGGGCTTGCTGTTTCGACCTCAGAGCCAGGCATCTTGGATGTGTTATAGCTGTCTGCAAGCAGAGGACGCTTGCCAGTGCTGCCCCAACCGTCCACAGCTCAAGCAGCATGCCTCGTGGCCGTCTAGGCACGTCGTTTTCTCACATGCATGAGACCCTTAGCTCAGGTCGACATTAATGATCCGGTGAACCTGGGCACCTGCACGTGCGACCTGACAGAGGCCTCTGCCTTGGATTGCATGTCGCGTGTAGTTAGTTGAGACCGGAGATGCAGAACAGCGCCTTGCGTTGGGGCGATGCGCGGACAGGGTCAGTGCGATGTGAACTGCTGTTTCGGGCTCGGCACATTGCCATGGGCCTTCTCATGATAGCTTCGCAGCTTCAGAGCCTGCGTGAGGCTGTGACCCAGACTGCAGCGGTCTCTCGGGTCTGGCTGGAAGTTTCAGCTGTCTTCCTGAAGGCTTCCGTGCAATGTGCATAGCGCGCTTTTCTCTTCTCGACGTCGTCAGGACCAGTGAATGCGAATGCACAGTATTGCTACTCGAAAACCTGGTTGCACAGTGTAAACCCGTCGAAGGCTTAGCATCTTGAATTGCCTCTCTCCGCCATACTTTGGCATGTTTTGGCTTCTCTCAAGGCGCGTCGATCTGTGGGTCATTGCAGATGATCTGCGTGGCCTTCTCTGCGTCTCTGTGGACAACAGTGCCTTGCAATGCATTTTTGCAACGAAACTCCAGGCAGGTGGCTCAGGTTTTCAGATTGACTGGGTGCCTAGGTGCAGTGCGCGGCGAAGTCTTCCAGAATGAGGCAGCAAAGAAGCTCTGAATCACAGCAAGCACCCGCTGAACAAAAGCAGGCAACACTGTCATCCTCGCAGATCGACGCTGTGATACAGGACTACTGAGCCCCTAGTGTGCGTGATGGCATCTGACAGGCGTTCCTTGTTCTGCCCAGGAGAGGCAGCGAAGTACTTCGACGGCCACTGCAGTTGGAGCCCTCAGTACAGAGGATCTTCGGCGTCCATGGCATGGCCTGGTTAGATGAGGCAGATGAACAGGTTCTGCGAGGCTATCGTGCCGGTGACGTGTTGAAGGCCTGCACGGTTCCACCGTTTTAATTTTAGTAGGGAGCGGCAATCGGGTATTCGTAGATGTCGCACGCACCACTGTCAAAGCTGAACTTCTGCCTCAGATTCACTCGGCACTTTCTGCAGCCGGAGAGGCGTGGCTGGCTTGGTGGCATTTGCCCGATATAGGAGGTTCAAAGGCCAAACTGCTCTGGAGCTGGTAATCCTGCCCGATATGGTGTTACGCAAGCTGCATGCGGACGAAGGGGTGGATCTCGCGGACGTAAGCATGGGATCTCTAGAAACTCTCATGAAAGCCAGTCGACAAAAGGGTAGCGCGGTCTGAAGGGTTTCTTGACCCGCTTAGCTATAGAGGCTTCGAACACGCAGAAACAGCCGATCGCCCCATTGTAGCAGACCCACTGAGACTGGTTCCAGGTGCTGGCTGTGACAGGCCCTGGGACCCTGGAAGCTGCTGGCAACGTAGAGGCGCAGCTTCAGTGGGTGCTTGCCACAGATGGGCAAACAAGTCAGGTTGTGAGCAGCCTGCGCCTGCCGACAGCTGATCCTCTGGGCACGTGCGCAGCTCCCGGCCAAGCAGTGAGGCGCGATGGCGTAGCCTAATGTAACTGTATAAGATTTCCGGGCTGCACGACTTCCTCCGGCATTGCAGTTTCAATGCCTCGATGAGATTATTTCAAAGGTAACCAGCTCATTCACCGAGATTCGAGCGTTACGCTTAGCCGCACCAACAGTGCAAGTTTGCCATCATCGAAAGTCCAAGCGGTTGATGTGCGAAGAAGATGTACGAGGTTTAGTTTTTCTTACAGTAGCTGTTAAAGTGACCTCCCTCCATAATGCCTTCAAAGTACCCTTGCAATATAGAAGCGTTTCAAGCTCCTGGTTTTCACGGAGCGGCTCGGCGGCTGCAGACTGAAGCATGAGTTGAGCCCTGCTGGAACAAAACACAGGGGGGCGGCAAACTGAGACCCTTGTGATCGCACTTGCAGAAGCCTGGTAGGTTCCTGAATGATGTTCCTTCCGCCGGTTGTTGGCGCAATGTGGACCTGGCCACAACTTGCACACAGCTCGGAGCCAGGCCCGAGCTGCAATCGAGTCTGAAATCTTGCTGCACCAAGCTGGACAGGTCTCGCCTGGAAAGCTTTATGTCTGGGCCTCACCAGAAGCATTCGCTTGTACAGGCGGGACGATAGCAGGTCATTGTTTTGTCTTCACCACCTCTAAAACTGTTCTCCTTTCCGTTCGAATTGAGTACCAGATTTCGTTTCAGCTCCAGCTGTAATGGCGGTGAGCAACTCTTGCATCATTTGCGGCACACCATCCGCTTGTGTCACACAGTGGTCACAAGTCCGGCTATATTGACCAACGGCAAAAACTACCCATTCATGCGAGTTGCAGCAGTTGACATGTGCTAGCATCGAGGTTGCGCAGCCAGTACATGCCGGAGGCTCGAGCTGATGCTTCCGTTGGATTGCGGAGCATCGTTTTGATTTTGTGCCAGGACATGCGCTGCGGAAGTCGCTGCCTGCTGCCAGAGATTGTGGCCTCATGTCCTGCTGGATCCGCTGTGGTCCCGGTGGAGTGGACATCGTTGTCAGCACTGGTCCAGTGTTGCGGTACCAAGGGAAACGGATCGGTGCCACCCTCAGGATGTCGCAAACAATGCGACACGGGGAGGCGTTGGAGGCCCGGCCAGACCCTGACCAGGCTAGCACCCAGTGCACCGGCAACGCGCTGCCGCTTGAAGACCCGGTGTTCTCAGGAGGTGGCCGGCTGAACCCGTTCTGTCTGCTTCGCCATCCGGGTTCCCCACAACCACCTAGGTGCTGATTCCTGCAGCTGCAAGGGTGTCCTCAAGGATGCGTGCGCGACCCGGCACCGAGTTCCCCTCGGAGTGCAAGTGTCCACCTGCGATGTTGAGGCACTACAACTTCACCTTTGGGTTCGACGAGACTCAGCAGGTAATGTCCTCAGCTGTATGGGCATCTACATCCAGATTTCGATCCTCAGATCATTTCCCTCTACATCGCGGGACTGCATAGACTTTGCTGCCAGACAAGGTAGTACGCATCACCAACATGGCAGTGAGCTTTACGCTGCAAGATGTGGTCAGTCAAGGCGGACAGTACATGATCAGAAATCGTGCCATCCTTGCCTCTGTCACGGGCTGTCTGCTTGTGAGGTCTGTGAGCATGATTGCATAGCGCATGTCTTGACCTTGGCAACTGCTGCATGCTCAGGCTGCCAGGTGGTGAGCTTGCAACAAGGAGGCAGCGTTCACTTCTTCCAGGTTCCAGATGAAGCCAGTATAAGCATGGTGCAGCATGGCAGTTCCGGAGGAGCAGTCGGATGGAAGCCAGCCCGAGGTGGCTTGACAGAGAGATGCCCTGACTTTGACACCTTGGGTTTTGAGTTCTTTGGCTTACAGGCTCGATCTGGCAATCCTGGTTATCAGAACGGATTGTACCTCCCCGAGCTATGCTTTGTGGCTTTCGTCCTCGCGCAGGCGATACTGTCGTCTTGAGTACTAGCCGAGGCCGTTGCTGGTTTCTCAATGCCTTGACTTCGACGGCTCCGGCACGTGCTCCAGTTATGGAGCCCGTGTGGAGGCTACAGTGCCTGGTATCACGATGGCAGGCACGTGCAAGAGGAACTAAAGAGCTGCTTAGGTGGCTGCCTGTGCAACTTTGGCAGCGCTTTGAGGCACATGTCGACGTGTGAACAGCAGCAGCACGGCGGAGCAAGACGATGCTCGAGACGCTGCCCGAGTGTCTTTCGAAATAGGTGGCATTGTCTAAGTGTGGAGAGACTTCATTGACTGCATGTGTCTCCAAGGTGCCCATCAACTTTGGAGAAAACTCCATGTCTGGCTCCGACCTAAGTTGCGAGAACGGCCTGCAACTCCACTGTCCCGCATTTCCTGTGTGCTTGTGGAGAAGGTTGCACACTGTCTCTGACGAGAGAGGAGCTGGCAGCCTTATGTCGCACAGGCCGAGCATGGTAGCTGCACCATGAGACCATGCCGACATGGATTCGGAGGTATTTGAAGCATTAAGCTTCGGCTTCGTCCATTTCTTGGCAGGCGCTGATGCAGCGACTGGCTTCACTGGCAGGGGGCCTCAGCCCAGCAAGCAACTTTTCAACAGTCCTCTTCCGGCAGACTGGCCAGGCTTGCTTGCAATGCTTCCTTTCGGTCGCGTGGATCTCAGAAGCACTTTGTCGGGGCAAAGAGTTTATGGTTTAGGGTTTAGAGCAGCAGGATGATTGCTCTGCAGTTCTGACCCCAGCAAGTTCAGGATCTGGAAATCGATGGACCCAAATTGCTGCTTTCGGCAGTGTGCCAACTTCAGCGCAAGATCCAGCGGACTGGGTCCAGGCGTGCGATGGCTAAGAGTCTCTCCGTGTTCTGTCGGCTGCTCTTGCCGACGTGGAAGTCTGCCAGGTGGAGGAGCTGACCAGGACTTGCCAGCTCTAATGCCTGCGAAGCGCCCTTGCTGTAAATACAACATATTACAACGCAGACATTTCGGGTTCCAAGTGGGGCGTCGCCGCTGGCTCGGCTATGTCCGACAGTCGCCATGTGCAGCAGTGGCTGGTTGCTTACATGGAGAACTACCAGAAGCCACCCGAGCATGCCCAGCAGTTGTGTGCCTTTGCTCGACATCGAGGTGCCCACCTTATGTACAGAGTCGTGCGGGATGCAATGCTGAGTCTGACAACAGAAAGTGCTCAAAGTACGAACGCTCGGATTGCGGGCAGAGAGTTTGATGGTGATCCCGGGGGTCATGGTGATGTGGCAACGAAAGGAGGACCCTCTTCGCCGGATACCGATTGGAAGGCCTTGCTGCCAATTCCTGTGCTTCGCCGCCTCAGAAGCGAAATCAAGAGCACAAACGGTGACAGCATCAGGATGACCAGGAGGGCTGCATCTGTGCCAAGATCGTACCGAGGGGTTTCCAGCGAGGGCCGTACCGAAAGCCAGCCTCCTCTCGAGCCGCGTCTGAGCACCCGCGTCCTGACAAAGGCATATCAAGCCGCGGCGAAGCAGCTTCAAGCTCACGAAGCAGCAGTACGTGCAAGTGAGAGTATAGAGAGATTCGGCAAGAACCGGAACCACTCGTCTCCAGAACTAACAGTACATTCAACCTCCTGCATGATCTGTTTTGAGAACACGGAATGCGTTCGAAGTGCTGCCCAACTCTGTGTTGATAGAGGCTGTGAAGGATGGTTTTGCACCTGCTGCCTCGCACAATATTTTGAGAACATCATTCAGGAGACGCCCTTTGCTGTACCGACCCTGCGCTGCCCGGGCTGCAAGGGTTTCGTGCCGCCTTCCTGCTGGCAAGAACACGTCACGGCGGAGACAGTGGAGAAGTGGCAGGGGAATGCTGCAAACCTCTTGTCCTTGCGGTGCGGAGGCTGTGACGAGCCAGGATCCTTGCTGTTGCCCGGTGTCAAGGCCGGTGACTCCCGGGAAGGCGTGGCCAGGGAGGCCTTCGGCGCGCAAGACCCGACGGCAGCAGCGGAGCTGGAGCAGAGTTGGTGTCTCTATGAAAGAGGAGAGATGAGCGCGGCCAGTCTCCTTGATGTGCTGCTCAGTGCGTGGCATCCCGGGTACGAAGACGAGGCTGATCGGAATGGGTTTGCGCCCAGCAAGTTTTGGGACCGCTTCCAGGCTGCTGCTAACCTCATTGAGGATGCCGGACTCCGTGCAGTTTTGCAGCTATCCGTGCTGAAGAGATTTCCGAAGACAGCAACTCTCTGCTGCAATGAGCCGCACTGCTTCAAGTGCAAAGTAACGACCCACCACGAAGGCATGAGCTGCGAGGAGGTGCAAGAGCAGCAGTCCGACATGGAAGATGGAGTGCAGTTCTGTCCAAGCTGCGGAGTTGCGACCATGAAGAGCGAAGGCTGCAATCACATGATATGTCTTTGTGGTGAGGACTGGACCTGGGAGGGACCTGAAGATTAGGCGGTTCATCGCTCCTTCAAAGCAAAATCTTTCAGTCCACCCGTGGCGCAGCTCGAAGTCTCAGGCTTGCCGATGCAAGTTTGACCAAGGGCTAATTGTTATCCTCAGTTTGCACGAGCATTCTGAGCTTGAGAGGGCCAGGCGGACGATACCGGACGTTCTGGGCTGAGCTCCATGTACAGGTCAAATTTCAATTGCCGAAGGATGAAAAATACTGTTGTGTACTGCACCGCCTCAAGGCTGTTCCTGCAGTTCAGCATACATGACATGTCAGACATGGACTTCTTTGTGTTTCCTGCCGATGGTGGCTCAAGAGTACGAGTTGCGAGCGAGCGCGTTGGAGTTGGAGCCATACCCGTGCCGTGAACTGGTGGACATCCGCCGGATTCCTCATCCACGGCGCCTTGCCCGCGCGATCGAAGCTGGCTGGGTTTGCTGAGGGTATTCTGTAGCAGAGGGCACGGGTTTCTCTGTTACGTTTCTCCAGAGCACGACCTAGTTGCAAAAAGTCGTGCAGTCCGGAGTGCAGCCGTGGTCGCAATGCTGAAGCTGCAACTGCAAGATGCTGCCAGCACTGTCACCTGGAGCCTCTTTAGCCCACTAGAATGTGCGCCCAGCTAGCAGAATCCAGCAGCATCTACGATGGTGGCAGGACAGAGGTGCCGGAGTTCAGCGACTCGGCGGGAGCACAGAAGGCCCGGGTGTAGATGCCACACGCCAGCAGAATGTCAGGCAATTGATCAAAGACTCTCCCGGGCTTTGTGCTTCTCAGCTTGCTGCGCCTTCACGTACATTGGGCTCATCCACTCGACCGCGTCAGTAGACTTTACAAAGTACATAGCTGCTGCGGGGTGCACAGTAGATGTTGCTACCGACAGGACCAGGGAGTAGTGCCGGACGGACTATTAGACTAAGACTTCCCAAGCCTCCTGTTGTGGAAAGCATCAGAATTGAAACAAAGAACTCAGGGCAGATGCTAGTTCGGCTCGCTTCATCACCAGTGATGCCTCTGCGAGGCCTCAAACTCGACATGTACGGGGGTTGTGACGGGTGTTGACCTCGAGGCCGTCGAAACCGTGCATGTAGACAGAGAGAGAGAGAGAGAGAGAGAGTAGGGCCAATGGCCTGAGGGTCGAGTGATCGACCCCTACGCCCTGCAGAAAGAAAGAAAGTAGCCAGTTGTCTAGGGGTTTGACCCTGCTCGCCTGTAACATGCACTTGGGCCCTTTGTTTCTATGACACTCTTTGAGCGAAGGGGGGGGGGGGCGAACACCTTTTGCTTCAGAAAGCTCGGAGAGGCCATGGCTTGTCGCTTTTACGCATCTTTTTCAGGAGCTGTCCTGACCCTCCCATGATGCCATGAAGCCAAGGTCTCTGAATGCCAGTGCAGCAGTAGGGGAACAACCCCTCATTCTTCTTCAGTTCAGGTTTCTTGTCTTGAGTAGGTTCTCGGGACTTGTGGTTTGTCGTTTGTGTTGCTTCAGAGGGATGTCCCCGGTATCCACCTTGAAATGAAGGAGAGCTGCCGAGCGTCAGAGCGTTATACCACTCCCGTATTTGAACCAGGAAGTATCAGTGAGATGAGCAGGGGTGCTTGTAGCGCATCTACCATTTTGGCTTGTTTTTGCCTTTGGACTTAGTCGCTTCTCTCTGATACTGCTCACCTCTGCCTTTCTGGAGTATGCATAGTTAATACTCCGCTCCCCACATGTCGGGGGCGCTAACGCACGCGGGTGAAGGGGACTAGTTCCTCCTTACCCCTAGCCGTGGCGAAAGAAAGAGAGAGAGAGAGGGGAGCTTCTCCCCTCTCCCTCAACCCTTGAGAAAGAAAGAGCGAGAGCGAGAAAGCCGCGGCCTCAGCTCGTAGAGTCAAGAACCAGTGCCCGTGCGCGCGGGGAGGGCAGGGAACTGCCTTCCTTTGGCTGTGCAGAAGAAGAGAGAGAGGGCGCGAGAGAGAGAGACCAATGCACCAAAGTCAGAAGAGATGCAGTATTTCTGCCTTGGAGGTCATCTACTCATACTTTGGAGATGTGCAGAATCCGCAAGCCAAGATTGTCGGTGCGCGGTTCTCGCACAGGAGAGCTTTTCAGCAGCCGCACGCGAGGCTTGCAGTAGCCTTGTGCTGGCCTTGCTCCGACAGGCTCGGGGTGCTCAGCTTCACTCTCGAAGACCCTTCTGAAAGGCCCGGCTCCTGCTTGCTTTTATTTCTTCTTGAGAGGAGAGAGAGCGAAACCCGAACACGCCGGATCAGGCAAGCGTTCCCATTCGTCTACAGCGCACTTGGCTTAAACCTCTTCGCTCCTGAGATGCTGCGATCTGTGAGCACGAGTGCCAGGTTTCCTTCCTCCGTGCTGAAAGGGATGACTTCCTGCTGAAGGCAAGGCAAAGCGACACTCAGACTCAGGCGGGCTGCACCTGTCCACAAAGAACCGAGGTCCCTCCACGGCCGCAACTTCCAGTCCTTCTGCCCGACGACCTGTTCTACCCCTTCACCATAGGCACAGGGCTAAGCTTTGACAGGGCACTTGAGGTTTCTGAGATGATCCGTCTACGAAGAAGGGAAGCTTCAGCTGAGGTTCGGCATGCAGATTGGGGTGGAGTGCTGTGCTGGGGCTAGCATTGCTGGCGCTCGCAGAATTCAGAACATCGTGACGGCTCAGTCACCAAATTCGCTGCAGGAAAAGGCAAGCACCGGTTTTCGCGTCTTCACAGAAAGGCCGTAGCTGAACAGTAATGTAGTAATGTACCCTCGCAGCCCCTGCTCAATCCGAGGCTGAAGTTGCTGGGTGAGATTTTGGAGTTGGCGTTTCTGGGTTTAGGATGGAGCTCAAGCCTTACACCTACCCTCTGCAATGCATGCCGTCATCGGAATGATGTTTTCAGGCTCGTGTCGCTGCAAAAGACATCCTGCATGGCCGGCACACATTGGTGGCGCATCCTTTCTTTTTGGGTCAAGGGGTGTCTCTCCACTCGGGGGGCGCAAGCCCTGCCGCCCGGCATCCCACCTCTCGTGCCCTCCTCTGTTGTTCAGAAGCCGCCGGTTGCCCTTTCAGCCTTGGAGCTTCAGGCCCTCCTTCGACCGGAAGGGGTGCTCCCAAACCAAGGCCTGTGCTCGCTACACTCTACACGCATCAGAACAGCCCCCCTTGCAGAAGGCCCAAGCAGGCGTGCAGAACGCCATGCTGGGTCTGTGCCGTTCTGAGAAGCCTGACTCCGGCCCGCGTCTCTGCATGATTTCCCATGTGGGAGTCAGGCCGGATAATGCTGTCCACATGCGGCCCTCTCGGGGGGCCTTCCGCAGCAGCTGGCATGTTTGCTCCGCCAAGACAGATGGTTTTTGTGGTGTTTCTGGACAGCCTGCAGGCAGCCTAGCCGTTGCGGTACTCATGGCACTTGCTCCTCAAGGAAGCAATGCGACGTTGAAGGCCGCAGCGGGATCGCTTTGTGAAGCTTTAGCTATCATATCTTGATATCTTATCATTGAGACAACGTGGCAGGCCAAACTTTCCACTGATGCCCACCTCACTGCAGGTGATTGGAAGGCCTTGTTGAGCGCAGCTGTCAGTGCTTATGCAAATACCTCCACCTACTGTAGCAGGAAGCTGCGAGAGCGGGAACCCTGCAGGCCATTTAACTTGTGTCTGAGGGTGTCAGCGAGTCTCTCTTGGCGCAGGTCGGAGAAGCGACTGTCGCAGAGAATGTAGAGTTCCTCTCCAAGACACTTTCGAGGCCCCGGAAGCTTTCAGACGGGCAGTTCACTTTTCAGAGACGCCGGCCCGAGGTTCAGAAGCTTTGCGCTTACTGCGCAGAACAGTGTCGAAGAGCGCCATGCAAACGAGGAACAGCGCCTTCAGGACAGATTCTCGCTGAACTGCACTGTCGTATGGTAGACTGACTTCTGTACGAGTATGGGCTTCCCTTCAAGTTGGCCAGGAGGCTGTCGCACAAGCGAAAGATCCGAAAGTCAAGACAGCCTTGCAGCAGAGCGCTGGTACTCCCAGAGTTTCACGTCTTGCAACCTTTTTTTGCAGAGTTGTCCAGAACCAGAGCTGCTGCTCACCTTCGCAAGGTCACCTCAAACAAAGAAGCGTTAGACGAGACGAAGAGCATCTACAGCAACATTGCCGGGAGCTAAAATCACGGCTTCGAGTTGTTGATGACGGAGCAAGAACCAGTACCCGAAGGTCACGTTTTCTGACAGCATGCTCTCCCTCCTCAAGAAGACCTCGTCGTCAGGCCGGCAATCTGGATTTCATGCGATCACCTCATTGTAAGCAGCTTTCTCGCAAGACCTTCTCACCTCGAAATGTGCCGCAGCAAAACCTACCCCAGCAAAGCCTAAGCCAGTGTCTGCGGTCAAGATTGGCGGAAGCCCTATTAAAACAGAAGGCATGAACATCAATGCCTGTCCCGACCCCCTTCCACCGGCAGTGATCTTTTCCGAAAGTCGTCTAAACCTGGAGAGTCAACGTGGTATCATTCTCGCGGCACGGTCCTTGCAGCTCAAGGCAACTGCGATCAGCTCATCTGCGGACTCCACGCATCCTGCGCAGAGACCCTGAGTGGTGCGCCTCCTCGCCTGAACCGCTCATGCACGTTTTTTCTGCCTGCATTTTTATCAGGCGCCAGCTGTGTGTGTGATGAAGGGTACATCGGCCAGGGCAAGGACAATCCTGGATCTTTAAGATCTCCCAAGCTTGATGGAAACTCTGCCAGGACTGCAAGCCGCCTGCAGCATTTGCACCCCATCTTCTGTTGGGTGAGAATGCAGTCCATGCCAGCGACATCCACGCCGCAGTCCTGGACAGGCTTAGGGGCAGATTTCCGGCAGACATGGCCGGACAGAGTCGACGGCATGTTCCCTGGTGACGAGAAGTGGTATATCAGGTCACCGCCTTCGATGGCAACAAAATCGCAGTGGTGTTCCGTGACGAGAACAAGGATCCAAGTCTTCTTGTTCTCCTGGTATGTCAGCATGACATGAGTCATGAACCTTTCAGTCAGGGCAACGCCGGATCTCTGGTCGTCGGGACGGTGGAGGAGGCCCCCAAATGCCCGCCATGACTATTGGTGTAGCCTTTATATGCTAGCCTAGTACATTGTGCTATGTGTATGTATATGTATGTGTATTTATACATATGTACATATGAAAAAATAATATATATATATATATATATGAGATGGGCCCCTGTACTTGGTAGAGGCCGGCTCGGTAGAGCTGTCTCCCCTCGAGCTCTTCACTGCACCGGGTGCAGCAGCCCCACTCTGAGAGTGCTCGCTGAGGGGTTTAGGGTTTTGGGGGTTTCGGGGGGGTAAAGGGTTTAGTTTAGGTTTAGGGCCTACTAGTGTTTGCGACTTCTGGGGTTTCCAGGCTTGCCATGCACTGCGGCCCTTTCTCACTGACGATGTTGGTTAGAACTCAGGCGTTCTCGCCAGTTGTGGCTGGAAGTGATGGCCAAAGCCTGGCTATCGCATGGCGGGACAATGCGAAATCAGGAACATGCAGGCAGCCTTGTCAAACATCTCTCTGCCTGTGGTCGCTGTTTTGTTGTCGCCGCGTCTGCAGGCTCCGAGCTGCAAAGCTTGGTGCATCGGGTATCCGTGGCGCTGAAATGGCTTTGATCCCAGTAGCTTTGTCTTGAGGATCTCGCTCTTCCAGCAATACGCTTGTTGTTTTGCCTTTTCAACTCCAAAAGCCCTGCAGCTGTTGGACCGCAGCGACTACGTAGCATGACATCAGTCGCATGGATGGCCTCATCCCGAACAAGCATTGCGATCAAGCGTCAGCAGACGTGGCTTGCCTCCGGAAGCTGATGGCGGCTGCCGTACGGCGCATTGCCCCGCTTGCCTCGAGGAGTGACATCGCCAGAGTCAGAGAGCAAGCTGTGCTAAGCGTCGCTCGCATCTTGAAGCGGACTGTGCTCGAAGCAGGTGCCTCGTTTGGAAGGCGGAGTTGTCGACGGTGCCCTCGGCTGCCTGAGCCATGACTTCGGCAAGCCTTTGAAGCCTGTGATGGTGTGTAGCACAGGTGTCACGACTTCTCCAGCATGGGGAAGTCAAGCTTGTACCGAGTCTTTCTCTCCCTTGCGAGCTTTCGCAGCTACACCTTGCCAGGGCCTGTGACTTCCCCAAGTCCGAAGTTCGGGTTGAGCCGTCAGATGGCTGTTTTTGAGGTCAGGAGATCGCCTGAGCTCGAGAAGCTGAAAGATGACTTGGTCATGCCGGAAGATGCCGAAGCTTTGATGATACCGTAGGGAGCAGAATGCATAGATAGGGACCGTAGCCTTGCTCGCAGTGAGGATGGTGATCGACGGAAGACTTTGGAATGCAGAGGAAGGCAGCTGAGCTCTGCCAAAGGACCTGCCGCTTCCTCTGCCGCTTCGCCTTGTGCAGGCGTCGGAAAGGAGGCTGGGGCCACAAGCGTGGCCGAGGTGGCACAAAGGGCAAAAGATGCTAGGACCGCCTGGGCCGCCAATGTCTCACGGTGGGACCTTTGCCGCCTTCGCGAAAATCGGAGTCAGCTGAGTCGTGAGTTTGAGCAGCATTTCGTACATCAGGCTGTTTTAGCGCGTCTTAGTAGTGAGCTCAGGCACTGACGTGGGGGCCAGCCATGGACTTCTGCACTGGCCAGGCCGAAGCAATGCTACTTCCCGCCTTGGCTTGCTTCACCGCTGTCGCATTCGAGCTGCGTCTGCAGGCCCACAAGATGTCCATCCAAGCATTTGACAAGAATCGCTTCGTCGTCCTTTATTCAGACAAGGCAGCATTTCGTTGGAGCAATCCCAGGACCCTGCGTGATTCCTTCCGAGTGCGGTGAGGCCCGGGGGCCTGACCCCGCGCGCACGGAGTCCTTCGGAAACTCCGTCTTGGCTGACGTTGGAGAATCGGGTGCCCAGCCTAAAGCCTGGCAGTTTCCGAGCCACAATTCACTCATCATCATCCGAACTCAGGCAACATCTCCGTGCTAGGCGCGAGTCTGCCGTGTAGGTCCTGATCTCACGCCAGTGCCTGGGTGCTCTAGGCAACTTCCGATTCACCGACAGTGCCGTCGCCCGTCTGGAGGCGTCAGCAGTCGCTGTCCATCACGGGTTCTGTGTTGCAGCCGAAGTGATGAGGCCACGAAAGTCAGCAAGAACGGCTTCGTCTTGGCGGCTGACTCGGAAGGGTCTGCAATGCACCAAACGGTCACTGGCCGAAGCACCGAGGCTGCCCGAGCCTCGCCCGCCCTCGACGAGATGAGCCCGCAGCCTGTCAAGCAGGAGGCCACGGAAGTGGGAGTCATCACCGATTCTGAGCAAAAGCGCGTCCGCGCGTGAGGCAATGGCCATGTATGGAGAGCTCGTCGGGGAAGACCTTGTCTTCGACCCAAACCCGGCGCAGCCCTCAGTGTAAGGAGGCCTGCGGTGCTGTTTTGTGCCCTTGACAAGAGGTGAACCTGGAGACAGAGGGTCAGATCTGGGCCAGGGGGGTGTCCCTGATTGCGCCCAACACCCTTGCCTACGCTTACCAGGATGGAAAGTGGCCTGGCTGTGAGTCAAAATTGAGGGTCGTTGTGTACAAGATGCTGTATGGGTTGATGCAGCTTGGAAACTGCGAGGGATCTACCTGAAGCTGACATCCTTATAAGGAATCAGCAGCTCAAGATCGCTGTGCTGAATATCCATCCACAGACTCATCGCATGCAGGCCCGCTGCCTCATGTAGATTCCAAAGCGGCGAGTTTTCTTGGGGTTCGTCAGGTGGCCCAAGCGCCTGTGTCTCTGGCAAAAGGCTTTTCGCCGGATGCTAAGAGACAATCCGAACTGCCAGGAGTCTTCTATGTGTTCTTCTTGCATGATCATGCAATCGGGGTGCAGTCTTCTGAAGAGCTAAGGCCGTATGTGTCCATGCTGTCGCTGCCATACTCGGCGTCAGAGCCAGAGACAGATGGATCGCCATGAATGTGAAGTAGGGCGTCCGACAGCACAAATGGCTCGAGAGGTCTGATCCATACGCTATGACCTACTTCCAGGGTCGGCACCCCAGAAGTATGTCCTTAGCCTGAACATGCTTGAACATGCAAGATGTAATCAATGGAGCAGCTGATCCCAAAAGCAGTTGGCTTCTATGAGGTGATGATGGCACCAATGTGCTCAACATCTGTGGTCTGAGTGCAGAGCAGAAGCTACAGAATTGCGAGGCGAGATTCCCACGCTGTTCAGCATCTCCGAGTCTTGAGCTACACACCAGTCTCGTCTCATGACCGCTGGCAGGACTTCCCGTGGCTAAATCAGAAAGTGTCCACTGTTTCCGGTGCTTCCCTTGGAGAAGGCACGGTTGCTTACCGCTTGTCCCTCAACCATACGTCAGCTCCCCTTCGCAGGCCGAGTCCTGATGGCCTTTGCAACTCCGTCTGGAGTTCCGTCAGCCGCGCAGCATCGTCCCGAGCGAAGTTAATCTCCATTCCTTCGTGTTGCGCAGGTACTACAGCCTCGTGGGCTTGTCGAAGAAATGAGATACCGCGCTGAAGCAGCCCAGCGTTGGCTCAAGCTCTGGGACCCTTTGAGCGGTCCCGTTTGTGAAGATTCTGGTGGAAGCCAGCCATCCTGAGCTTTGCTGTGCAGCGCCGGTTCAAAACACTGGTTCACGTCTGCTAGGAATGAGGAAGCATTAAATGCACTTGCTGGAGGCTCACACACACACACACACTGCAGCGAGGAAAGGTCACAGGACCTACAGGCCGAAGCCCGGACGCTGCATCTCCCTAAATCCATTTTCATCGGAGATCCGCAGAGATGCACCCTCCCCCGGACATACATCTACAACTGAAACGCATGAGGTCATGTGACAAGTGTTTAGGGACACAGGTTTGTGCAAAAGTCGGCTCCAGGCTGCAAGTGCCAACTCAAGATGTCCGGGGAAAAAGCCCTGAACCATGCTGAAGATGTGGGAAACATCCGCAGCACCACCCCCCCAAAAAAAAAAAGGTATCCAGGCTTGGATCTCTCCTGCACTTTCGGGTGCAGGCGAGGATCCGAGGTAGCAGCGATGTTAGCACTATGAACTCGGCTCCTAGTGGGCGGCAGAAAGGATGTAGGATGACAACGTATGGATTGCAGCAAATCTTCAGCCCGGATTCATGAATACTTCGACATGTATCTGCCGGAGACATCAGTTTCGCTTTGCGTACACTTCCTCCCTACTGGTCTTCTAAGTAGATATAGCAGTCGAATGCTGTCATAGGCAGAGGCATACTCCACTAGACGCTACCAGAGATTGGCATAACGAACTAGTTGGTTTAGCTGCTTTGCCCTCCATGGAAGAGAGGTGAAGGCAAGGGGCGCCTTCGGGCATTCGGTGCACGCCTGGATCGGGGTGGTTTTTCAAACCAGGTCATGGAGAGGACTGCCATAGAGATCACCGGTGGCACGACGGAGTGGACGAGCAGGCTCGTGCTGCTTATGCTGTCGGCCTTTCAGTAGACTTGCCTTCCCCTCCGGTTGCCCCTCTTTGTATCAGGCTGAGCCTGAAGAAGGCGATGGAGAGGTATGGCGAGGCTGGGCTCCCGCTCGGCACAGACCCTGTCGTGCCGGGGGGGGCGCTTGTGCGGAACTGGCCCATTGGCAGGTGATGGGTTGTCACATGGGGCAGCGTGGCGTGGACAAGCCTGTCGTGCGTTATGTCACCGGCGAAGTGGCTCAGGCTGCGCATGAAGCACTGAGGACCCGAGAGACCCGAGAGATGTTCTGTGAGATATATATTGGAGCCTTGCCCCCCCCCCCCCCCCCCC